TTACTCGGATCACGTGACTCTGCAGCCGCTTCCGCCTTCCGCCGCGAGGACCCGCCCTTCGCCAGCCACGCCCCCGCACGCAGGCTGCAGGTGGGTTGTCCACGCCCCCACAAGGCTCCACCTCCTCCCTTCACGCTCGCGTGTGGTTCGAGATGGGGTGTGTGGGGCGTGTGTCCCGTGCACTCAAGTGCCCGCACGTGGTTGGCAAGGCGCGTGGTGGGCTTCTGTGTACGTTTGGGAGCACGAAGGGTCTCATGGAGCCTGACTTACTTAGCATAACTTACTAAATACTTATTGAATCCATTAGTTCATTTACTATTTAGTCAACAATTCTGCATGTGGCAGTGTTCCCCGAATTGGAGTAATACCGTCGTTAGTTTCGCCAAATTCTAGACACCTGTACTGTAAAAAAAAATTGTTTCTCAAACCAACTTACTTTCAAAAATCTTACTTTAGTCTTATGTGCTAAAATCATGGCTGTGAATAGTTACATATGTTTTTAAAACATACTAAATTAAAAAATTTTTTTTAAAGATTTTATTTATTTATTTGACAGAGAGAGAGAGTGAGAGCAGGAACACAAGCAGGGGGAGTGGGAGAGGGAGAAGCAGGCTTCCTGCCGAGCAGGGAGCCTGATGTGGGGCTCAATTCCAGGACCCTGGAATCATGACCTGAGCCAAAGGCAGACGCTTGACTACTGAGCCACTCAGGCACCCCTAAAATAAATTCTTAATTAAAAACAGTACTTCCTGTCTACTACCTAAAAATCTCAGGTACCAACAGTGGCTGTCTCCCTACCATTTGGGACTCAGGAGAGTGTGTTTATCGTGCTTGAATACCTTAGAGGGCTGTTTTTTTTTTTTTTTTTTTTTTTTTTAATGTGGCAAAATTTTAAAAAGCACTTTATGGATGTATTGTGGCTAACAGGCAGATGCATCAGAGAGAGTTCCTTATTGTAAGCTTCCATAGTGGACAGAGATCTTAGGACAAAGGCTGGACCACAGTGGAGCCCAAAGAGTGTTAAATATGAGCATAATACATGACAGTACTTTTTCTAGTGAGTGAAAAGTATGCATGTGAATCTGACAACAAAGTTGAAAATAGAGTCTTATCCTCAATCCATAGATCAGAATCTATGGGACACAAGTGAGGGGGTGTGGTAGGCAGAATTCCAATATCGCCCCCAAGATTCCCATCCCTTTGGGTACATACCCTGTATAATCCCCTCCCCTTGAGTGTGAACAAGACTTGTAAATACAGTGGACTGTCACTCCAACAGTTATGTTATATAGCAGAAGGGAATTTGTAGATGTAGTTAAAGTCCCTAATCAGTTGACTTTAGTTAATAAAAAGGGAGATTATCCCGGGTGGGTCCAACCTAATCAGATGAGGCCTTTATAGTCGTCAGAAGGCATTTGAAGGAGGAGAGAGATTCTCCTGCTGTCCTTGAAGAGTGAACAGTAGCAAAAGTGAACTACCTATAATTGGCCACATGGTAAAGACCTGAGAATGCCCTCTAGTTGCCAACACTGATCTCCTGAAGGTGTCAGTTGCCAAGAAAATGGGACTTCAGTCATATGGCTGTAAGGAAGTGAATTTTGTCAACACACCAAGGGAACTTGGAAGTGGATCTTTTCCTGATTGAGCTTTCAGATGAAGATGCAGCTGGCTGGCATCTTGATTTCAGCCTGTGAGACCCTGAGCCAAGAACCCAGTTCAGTCCATTCTGGACTTCTGACCCATGGACACTGTGAGATAAGAAACTTGTGTTGTTTTAAGCTGCTGGTTTTGTGGGAATTTGTAATGCAGCCATACGAACAAGTACAAAAGCTAACCTAAAATTCAGTAAGTCATGGAGGAATTGTGTCTAGAAAAATCTGTGAAAAAAGTTCTTTCCTTTACCAGTAGGGTTTTCACAGCTTTTAAAACCTTTGCCAGTACAGTCCAATGAATGAAGGTGGGTAGACCACCAATCTGAAACTGCTCCAAATTTAGATTTGTCGCCAGAAAAAATGTTTTGTTTAATAGTTTCCTCCTCTTACCTTGATACCAGGTGGGACCGATAAGGATGTTTCTAAATGTCTTTGCCAAGTTTATGTCTTTAGGATTTTTGATGATGGTTGATGCAAAACAATGAAAAAAATTAAATCAATGGGAATGATTTGGACCTATTTCTCTGGTATGTATTCACTTCCACTGGACCGTATCTAGTATAATATTTCATCTGTTTCTTTTGCTGTTTGGTTTGGCTTTTTCTTAAAGGTGAACTGAATTTCCCAAGGGTCATAGTGAGATACAGTTTTTAATAATTGAAACAGTAATGTTTTGACCAGAAGGAACTCTTTTCTCTTGAAATCACATTCTGGACTAGGTTGCTAAGAAACCAGTTTTTTACTCAAGGCCCAAACCAATGCTTTGTCCTACCTTCAGTTCGGAAATTCCTCCGGGGGGGGGGAGGGGGAAGAAAAGGTGGTTTCTTTTCTCTGATCTCTTGGAAAATGCCAACTAATTAAGGTTATTTATGCAATCCTGGACTGGCTGTGGGGTTAAGAAAGCCCAAGGCCACCGTTGCCTTCTCCACGTGCTCACTCCTCTGACCCTGGTGGCCAGTCCTGGCCAGGCCAGCCACACTCCGACACTTCTAGGCTAGCAGGTCTGCTTTGCTGAGAATGTATCCTTAGAGGGAAATGTCCACTAGCTTGTGTCAGAGTGTTCATTTTCACCAAGCTTCTCCCCCAGGCCTCTGGTGAGGTACTTGGCAATCCCAGGTTTGCCAAAATGAAACCATTTTGTTATTGTCTTTTTGAGGTGGAGGAAGTATGAGAGGGACCTCAAGAGAAGAGATGTATCACATCTCAAGTCCTCCTGGAGAGGTGTTCCTGCTGGGGCAGGGTCTGAGCTGAGCTTCGGTCCCAGGGAGAAGGCCTGCTTCCTCACTCCAGACCAGGAGGCTTTGGGCTCTAGACTCAGTGGCTTAGGGAGAGCTGGAGTAGGGCTGAGGTAGGGGAACTGGCCCTGGCCACCCAGCACCACTTGGGAAGAGGCCAGGGTCTGTAGCAGCCAGTGTCTAGGGTCCTCCTGGAGAGCAGCAGGGCTGTGGGTCCCACAAAGGCTCAGCTTCCATAGTTGCCTTTAAGGCAACCGCTCTTAGCTGCAGAGTGTGCTAGAGATGCCTTAAAATGCACACGCTGATCCAGGAGGTCTGGGACAGCCCCAGATCCTGCACCCCTAGCACGTCCGTCCCAGCTAGTGCTGGGGCAAGGCAGTTGTGGCTTCACAGCTGTGCTGGGCAGCGCGCTCCTGGGACCCGTAGCAAGGGCCTCATGGGGAACCTGGCCAAAACTAAAACTAAAGCTACTAAATCAGACCCTCTGAGGATGGGGCCTGACGGCCTGTGAGGTAGCAAGCCCTCTGGGTGATTTCCGTAGATAATAAAAGTTGAAAAGCCCTGCTTTCATCAGACTCTGGGTGTTTGCTAGTCGTAGCGCGTGCTCATTGATCTCCGCATCCTCTCAGATGGCTGTGCGGTGTGCTCTTTGCTCATTTAACCATCTGGAAAATCTGTCATCTAGTTTTTGCCTTATGTCCGTTAACAGGATCTTTAGTAGTTCCGCAGATCAACTATTACGTGTAGGTCTGCAAATACTTTAGCTGAGCGCAGGGTCTACTGGGCTGAGAGTTGGGGGGAGGTACAAAAGGATGAGAAGAATCTCCCTCCATTAAACAAACAAACAAACAAACAAACAGAAAACCACACCCACATAAGGGTTTCTGTGTTTTAAGACGTAAGAGCTCTAAAACACAATAAGGGTTGCTGGGCCACACCCCTGGAGCTTCTGACTCAGCAGGTCTGGGTGTGCTTTGAGGATGTGCATTTTTAATGAATTCCTTGGGGATACTGCTGCTGCCAGGGCCAGGGACCATTCTTCAGAACCCCCTGTTGGGAGCACTCGTCATCTCCTTCCATGCTTTCTCCCTCCCTCGCAGGTAGGCTGTTGGGGATGCCGATGGGGGAGCAGGTGGTGGCAGGGGACCCTCAGGCATGTGCGTGCAGAAGCAAATCCACTCCAGGGCCAGTCGCAATCATCTTTATTTCATCAGGGAGCGCCAACAGGTAAGTGGTCCTATTATTATAATTATTTTTTTAAGTGGTCCTATTAATACACGTTGCAGGACCCAGGGCCAGAGCCTGGGCCAAGGCAGATGTCCCACTCCTCCTTGGAGGTGGTGCTTCCCTAGTGTTTTCCTTCTTAAGAAAGGCACTGACTTAGACCTCACCCTTCCTGTAAATACAGAATGGCTGCAGTTTAACCACATCAGATTGTGGTGTGGTCCTCCCTTGGAAGTAGATCCCTGACTCTGTTGCAGCATTAATGGCCAGGTGGGTGTAGGACTTGTAGCATTGGTTCTCAACACTGCTGTACAAGTTTGGAAGAGAAAAGGATGCCCACATCCCTCCCCAGACTAATTAACTCAGAATGTGAGGTGCAAGGGTCTGGAGCAGAATTGGCCGATTGGGACGTGCAGACAGGTAGGGAATCGCTGTGCTACAGGCTGACTGCTACGCACAGGGCTGGGCTTGGGAGTGGGGGACTGGGGGCTCCGCATTACTCCAGGACCCGGCCTTCAGCGAGAACTTTCTGTGGGGAACAGATACAGGATTCAGAGATGGAGGGATCATCCCCGGCCCCTGGCCCTGCAATAATGGTGCAGGGGTCATTTGTTACAATTTTGAAAATAGTGTCTTATTTGGCTTTTACGTGAAAGCAGAATAAAATATCATATCAAAAGAGAGTCATGTCTAAGGGCTCTTTAAACCATTATGGATTTTTAAAAGGCACTGTGGGGGCCTAGTGTCATGTACTAAGTGCTATTTGATAGGAGGTCATGAGTGTGATATCTATGTCATCTTATTAAAAATGGGGATTATTCCTTGAGCTTTGGGGATATGATTAGAAACTAAATTCAGGGACTTGCCCTTGTGAAGTGCAACATAGCTGTTTTTTTTTTTTTTTGTAGTTACCATGTGTAATATGGAATATATGTATATTTCATATATATATATATTTGGAATGCATATAATATGGAAATAAGTGCCCCAATAATTGAAGGAGGAGATAAAACAGTAGCTGTAGAATTCTGACTATTTTCTCTGTTCTTTGCCAGGGTAGAATAATACATAGATTCTAAGGTTGAAGAGATGGCTTTCCATTGATGTAGCTGACCTTAGTTACCACTAAGGGGTGATTCCCTTCAGGTAATAAACCCATTTAACACCTGCTTCATTGCCTTCACTGGGAGGACAAGACACAATCAGCTTGCTGGTGATGGGCGTTTTGCTGCCTGATGGGTTTCCTTCAAAGGAGACGGTGATATTGTTGATCTTCTTGGGCCGCACGGAGTCTACAGCACGAACAGAGAAGGCTGGGTTCTCCACAGTGAAGGAGAAGGTGACTGGATGATAGAAAATGTTCTTGAAGGGGATGACTATGTTGTACCCTGCCCGGATCAGGAAGGGACCTTGGGGCTTCGGAGGCAGAGCCACTCCAAAGAGGGGGATGATATACTCCCCGCCTGTAATCGATGACAGCGTCAGGATGCCCTTGGTCTCGCCCAGGTGGCTGGGCTCAAAATAGACCTCCACACTGACTTCTGTGCCTCCTTGAGCCCCTGGGGCTGCGTTAATGATCTTTTCCGTGTGGAAGTCTTGACAGTCGGTCTGAAAGAGGAAGAAATGCACTTGGTTCACAAGGGACCCCACAGACCACATGGGCAGCTCGGCCCATCCCCCGCCCGCCCACCCGCTCTCGGACATCAAGTAACCTACGTTTGTGTGAGGCTGGGCAGGTCATTAAAAGTTGTGCCCTTATAAGTCCCTTGAAGAGTAGGTAATACTAATTATTATACCCATTTTGCTACAAAGAAATCGAGGCCAAGAGAGGTTAAATGACTCGCCCAGATATACCAAGCAGGGTTACAGAAGTGTGGTCTTCACTGGTGCTACTCCCCCCCATCCGGCTCTTCTTTTCTCCCACACCCATGAAAGCCTGCACACTCTGGCTCCTCATGGATTGGGGGGTCTAGTTCTCGACAGTTAGTTTTGAGCAGAAGTGAAAGGGGTCACTTCCACATGAGGGCACTCGCTTGGCAGCACAAGTCCCCTTGGGATCTTTTCACCCCTCTGGCACTACGACCTGAGACGTCTGAGCTGGCGGTGGCCCTCCAGCCTGGATCCCTGAATGGCTGTCAGATGAACAGAGTCCCCTGCTGACCCTCACTGGATAGATAGCACAAATGAGGGACAAACCTTGGTTGTTTTAAGCCACCAAGATATTGGGGCTGTTTGTTACTATAGCATAACCTAGCTTCTCCTGACTGATATGAGTGATCAAGAGCCCGTGCCTCTTGACTCTAGCCATGGAACCCAGTGTGGAGGCTGCACCTCCTAGCTACCCTTGTTGCTAGATGTGGTCTTACACAGTTTTGTTCAAGGGAATGTGAGTGGAAGGGGTAAATATAGCTCCCCACCATCCCCCCTGGAGCTGGCTGGAATGCAGACATCATGGTAAGCCGTCTTGGTCCCTGTGGACCAAAGCAACTCTCTACAGAGGAAAGAGCCTCAGGATAGAAGGAGTCTGGATACCTGATGTCATGGAGCTACCATTCCAGCCCAAATTGCTTATGTTCACACTGTTATCTGAGATAAGAATAACTTTTGTTTTTGTTGTTACTTTGGGTTTCTGTTTCAGTAGTTAAACCTGGATTCCAAATTATATAATAGGTAACATATATGAAGCATGTACTATGAGCTAAGCTCTATGAAAATAGTTCTGTATGCATCTTTTAAAGGCCTCAGAGCAATCCTGTGAGGTTGGGGTATTATTACCATTTCTAGAAAAGGTTAGAGAGTAGAGAGCTTTAGTAAAGTATTCAAAGAGTAAGTGGTGAAGCCGGGGTTCAAATCCAAGGCTGTTGGATTTCACAGCCTATACTCATTGACTGGGTTCTCTACAATGAAGGAGAAGGTGACCAGATGATAGAAAATGTTCTTGAAGGGGATGACTATGTTGTACCCTGCCCGGATCAGGAAGGGACCTTGGGGCTTCGGAGGCAGAGCCACTCCAAAGAGGGGGATGATATACTCCCCGCCTGTAATCAATGACAGCGTCAGGATGCCCTTGGTCTCAGGCCTACTGTCTCTTCTAGTGACCACTGTACATACTGTGGGAAGCAAAACTCTCCCCACCCCTACCCCAGCTTGTTAAGGTAGAGTCTGTAAGGAAGAAGCCAGGCCTGATACTATTTCTAGCTGGGAGTTTCCAGGCTAGATGAAGCCCTTGACTCCCTCTGAGTTTCATATTTCTGCACCCCCTGTATCCTCCTTCTATTATTTTTAAGCTCAGACTTCTGGCAAGGGAAGGGCAGAGGGTGGGACAGTGGCTACTCACCCTGCAGTAGTATTCTGTCTTCTGCCGGGTGTAATTGGTGAACTTGGCAAAGATGCTCTGACCACTGCCAAGAATGGCCTGGAAGTGGATGGGCTTTTCAGGCAGTGCTGGCGTGGCCTTCAAATTGAGCTCATACAGGTAGTAACCCAAATCACTGTTGTGCAGCATTAGTCTCCCAAAGGTTTCTCCAGCTCTCAGGGGCTGGAATTCAAATGAGAATGTGCCCTGCAAGAGAAGACAGAGGCTCCCATGATGCCAAGAGTCCAACCCATCCCTTGCTACTCAGTGACCTCAGAGTACGTTGGTGGCAGAAATGGTGCTTCACAGCAAATGCTCACGCTGATCTTGAGCCCAGGGAATCTCTGTCCAAACAGCCCCTTTTCTCCTCTGCATCCCTTCTGGCTTTCCCTAGAAATACCCTAGAGGTATTTATGTATCTGTAATCTCTTGGAATCTAAAAGGTATTAGATCTTCTCTTGAGAAACACACACTTATGGCGATGGGGGTGAGTGTTGCCAGCAGGGGGGCTGAAGGTCAAGCAGCTCTTTCTTTGCTCATAGCCAATCTCAGAACAACTTCCTGGGTTCTACCTTCATTTGGGGAAGATTTTCTCCTCCTCCTATTATCACGCATGGCAAAACAGAATAAGAACCAGGAGTATGACTTATAATAACAAAATAAGGGAAACAATTCAAATGAGTTTAGCGGTAAGAACTCGGCTAAATAAGTCATAGTTTATCCACTTTGGTGAAATAGTATGTAGCCATTAGAAAGGAAGAGGCAGAGCTATAAGCATTGCCATGAAAGGTGTTGATGATATTGTAAGTCAAAGGAAGGATATTCCAGAAATGTATATACAGCATGTGCCCATTTTTGTGGAGGAGATTATGTCTATGCAGGCATAGAAAGGAGATAGCAAGGAAGTATTTCAAATTGTTACCAGTAGTTATCTTAGGCTGAAGGAAATGGGATTTGGGGACTTCCGTTTTCTCTTCCATATACTTTTGTATAGTTAAAATCTTGTTTGTATCATGAGTAGGTATAGTTTCTTTTTAAAAAAGAACTAGTTCTTCTCATTGAAAACCAGAATAAAAAGAGGATATTGTTAAAGTTGTTGTAGATGTTTAACAGAAAATAGAGTATACGCATTTAGATGATTTTACCACAATTAAAAAAAATTAGATGAGAATGGGAAAATGTATGAAAGATATAACTTACAAAACCAGACATAAGTAGATAAAGAAAACCTAGGTAGTTCTGTAACCATTAAAGAGATTTAAGCAATAGTAAAAAAGTTTTAACAAAATTCCAGGATCATAAAGATTTACTTGTAAGTTCTATTAGATAATCTAAGTATTCCACAAATTCTCCCAAAGAAGAGAAAAGGAGGGAACCCACTTCAGGTAGCATGATTTTTTTTTTTTAAAGATTTTATTTATTTATTTGAGAGAGAGAGAATGAGAGATAGAGAGCACGAGAGGGAAGAGGGTCAGAGGGAGAAGCAGACTCCCTACTGAGCAGGGAGCCCGATGTGGGACTCGATCCCGGGACTCCAGGATCATGACCTGAGCCGAAGGCAGTCGCTTAACCAACTGAGCCACCCAGGCGCCCAGGTAGCATGATTTTGATATCAAAATCAAACAAGGCTAATAGGAGAGAAGAAAACTGGATGCCAGTCCTCCCCGCCCCAAACATACATACAAAGTGCCCAATAAAAATGTTATCCAGCTAATCCAGCAATATATAAAGAAAATGTTTTATGACAAAGATGGGTTTATTCCATGAATGAAAGGTTGGTTTAACATTTAACTGCCAATCAGTTGCCACATTGACAGATTAAAAGGAGAACAATGATTTGACCATCTCAATAGATGCAGTAAAGGCATTTGATAAAACTACATCCATTCATGGAGTTTTAAAAAAAGCTCTTAGCAAACTAGCAATAGAAGGGGACATCCTTAATTTGATAAAGAGTATCTATAAGAAACCCAAAATAAACATAATAAATGGGGAAACTTTGAAAGCTTTCCCTTCAAGATTAGGAAAAAGGCAAGGATGCTATCGCCTTTCTAGTCAACATTGTTCTGCAGTTCCTAGATAGCCCTATAAAGCATGAAAAGGAAACTAAAGGAAGAAGTTTATAATGGAAGAAACAAAGTTGTATTTATGTACAGGTGATACGATTGTACATGTAGAAAACTTAAAAATCTATAATTGAAATTATTATTATTGATAAGGGAATTATTTAAGGTGGTTGGTTACAAAGTCAATATACAAAATGTTAAAAATAGAACTACCCTATGATCCAGCAATTGCACTACTGGGTATTTACCCAAAGAATACAAAAACACTAATTCAAAGGGATACATGCACTCTGATATTTATTGCAGCATGGTTTACAATAACCAAGATATGGAAGCAGCCCAAGTATCCACTGATTGATGAATGGATAAAGAAGAAGTGGTGTATATATACAATGGAATATCACTCAGCCATCAAAAAGAATGAAATCTTGCCATTTCCAATGACATGGATGGATCTAGAGAGTATAATGTTAAGCAAAAGAAGTCAGTGAGAGAAAGACAAATGCCATATGATTTCATGTATTTGTGGAATTTAAGAAACAAAACAAATGAGCAAAGGAAAAAAGAGACAAATCAAGAAACAGGTTTTAATTATAGAAAACTGAAGGTTACCAGTGGGGAGGTAGGTAGGGTGATGGGTGTAACAGGTGATGGGGATTAAGGAGATCACCTGTGGTGATGAGTACCAGGTGATGTATGGGAGTGTGGAATCACTATATTGGACACCTGAAACTAATATAACACTGTATGTTAACTAACTGTAATTAAAATAAAAACTTAAAAAGCCAAAAAATAAAGGCAAAGTCAATATACAAAAATCATTAATACTGTTGCATACTTGCAACAAATAGAAAACGAAATTTTGAAAAGATACCATTTACGATAGTATCAAAATATATAAAGCCTAAAAATAAATCTAACAAAAGATGAATAAGGCCTCTACATAGAAAACTAAAAAAATATTATTGAGAGAAATTAAATAAGAAGACTTAAGTAAATAGAGATCTGCCCATGGATTGGAAATCTCAATAGCGTAAAGATTGGAATTCTCTCTGCCACAGATATGCTCCAAGATGGCCCCCAGCGGGTCATCCTCTCCCATATTGTACCAGGGCTGGTCTGTGTGACCCCTAGTATATGGCAGAGAGACGGCATATCACTTCTGAGATTAAGAGGAAAAGACTGTGGTTTCTGTCTTGCACATGCTCTCTCTCCTTTGCTCTCTGCTTCTCTTAGGTCACTCGCTCTAGGGGAAGCAAGCTGTCAGGGTGAAAGCAGCTCTAGGGAGAAGTGTACGTGGTGAGGAACTGAAGCCTGCAGCCAACAGCCAGCAAGGAACGAAGGTCTTTCCAACAACTACATGAATGAGTTTGGAAGCAGGTTATCCAGCCCCAGTCAAACCTTTGAGGTGCCCGGAGTCCTGAGTGACAACTGACTACATCCTCAGGAAAGATCCTCAGCCCAAACCACCCAGCAAAGCTGCTGCTCTTGGATTTCTGAGCCTCAGAAACTGTGTAGATAATAAATGCTTGCAGTTTTAAGTTGCTAATTTTTAGGGTAATTTGGCAGCTAATACATTCTTAAAGTAATCCAATCAAAATCCTAATAGGTTATTTAATTTTTTTGGAGGAACATGACAAGCTGATTTATACAGAAATGCAAAGGCCCAAGAATGGCCAAGAAACTCTTGAAGAACAGGAATGTGAGATGATCAAGTCTTAATATAACGTCATCAGAAGGATGTTATGATTTTAATTTAACTAGTAATATAGCTTCAAAGTATATAGAGCAAAAACATGACAGAACTACAAGGACAAACAGACAAATCCCCTATCACAGTGGTGACTTTAACATACTCTCTTAAATCTGACCAAACAAGTAGACCAAAATATCAGAGAATTAACACCAAATGGCAAACACATGCTTTTTAAAAATAAATGGAGGATTAAAAAAAAAGATCATATATTGGGCCATAAGGCAAGTCTAAACAAATTCTAGAGGACTGAAATGTGGAATATAAGGACCACAAAATAATTTAAAAAACAACATGTAGAAAATCCACACTTTGGAAATTAGGAAACACTTGTAATAACCCATGAGTCAAAAAAGAAATATTCATAATAACGTTAGAACATTTTTGAACTTAATGATAAAAAATGCTGCATATGAAAATTTGTACACTGCAGCCAAAGCAGCACTTAAGAGGGGGACTTCTAGTCTTAAATGTGTGTATGGGAAAATAGAGAAGACTAGAAGTAAATGCACTAAGCACTCATCTTAGAAATTGGATAAAGCACCAGTAACCCACAGGAAGCAGAAAGAAGGAAATAATTAAAAGTAGAAATCAAGCAACTAGAAAACAAACACACAATAAAGAGTACCAACAAAACCAAAAGATGTCTTTTTGAATATAAGATATAATGCTGGGAAACCTCTAACAAGACAGATCAAGAAAGAGAAGGCACAATAACCAATATTAGAAATGAGAAAAGAACATCACATAGAAGAGGTAGTAAGACGATATTAACAATGTTGTGCCAATATTTTGAATATACAGATGAAACATCCACGCTCTTGTTACTGATTCAGGAAGAAACAGAAAATCTAAATAGTTTAATAACTTATGAAAGGAATCAAGTCAGTAGGGGAGAACCTTCCCCAAAAGAAAACACCAGGGCTCAGGGACTTCATCGGTGAGTTCAAGGAAGGCATAACTTCAATCTTTTATAAACTCTTTCACGGAATCGAGAAAGCAGGTAAATCCCCAATTCTTTTTCTATTGTGGGCAGAACTGATGCTCAGATTGGACAAAGAGTACAAGAAAGGAAAACTGGTTCATTCTCACTCAGGAGCATGGAGGAAGATCTCCTGCACAGACTATTAACCAACTGAAGTCAATCTGTTTGTAAAAAGGTGAATTAAGATCACAAGGAGCTATTAGTTGATCCCAAGTTTTATCAGATTGGTAAACCTTTAAAAATGAGACAATGCCAAAAGTTGGTGAACTCTCATTACTGACTGGAGCTTATCTCCTGGTTGGCAGTTCAGGCATGCACACCCTGTGACCCGGTGATTCTCCTAGGCATACGCTGTGGAAAACACACGCTGTGTGTGTCAGGAAGGCACTTGTGTGGTGAGGTCCACAGCATGATAGCCAAACGTTGAAACCAACACAGACGTCTGGCCACACTAGAATGGATATCTAAATTGTGGTATAGTTGTATGATGGAATGGATATTCTACAGCGATGGGGATGAATGAACCTCAGCTGCGTGCATCAATGTGATGACTATCAGGACACACGAGGTTGAGCAAAAGACAAAACGCTGAAGAATGTTTATATGATTTCTTTTGGATGAAGTTCAAAACTAGGCCAATCTAAACCGTATGGCTTAAAAGCAAGAAATTATTACAAAATGAGGACAGTGGTAACTTTTAGGGGTGACGGACAGTACTGTGAGTGGAGACGGGTTTCTGGGGTGGTGGCAATTTTTTATGTCCTGGCCTGGGTATTGGTTATACAGATATTTCCTTCATAGTTGTTTAAGTAAACATGTTTTAATACATTATATGTATATATATATATATATATATATGTTATATATTTATGCATAGATTTTTTTTATAATTCATGCTGAAGAATATAAAGACAAAATGAAGGGCATGGAGACTCTCTGAGGAACAAAAAGGATTTTGCGTTCTGAAGGGGAAGGAAGAGCTCAAGTGGGCACAGGGAATAAGTGGGTAGGCTTAAGTTAGAGAAACAGAAGGGATTTTGATGGAATCTGGACAGTGAGTTTGGAGCCATAAAGTGAAAAGAGTCAAAAGAAAGTTCATCGCCACATCAGCTCAGAATTTCAGGCTATATCTTCCCAGCCAGGCACAGGTATCTTGTGCATCCTTCCTGAAGGGGTCTGTGCATAAGCAAGCGTTATGTGCGTGACAGTGCACATGCTGTTCACTCGATACGCTATGTCCCTTGCTTTCCTTTTCACCACATATATTCTACATCACCTTTATAATTAGCAAAAAACAAAAATAGTTTCAATTTGAACAAAGCAAACAAGCATATGACAGAGGCAAGGCTTCATAATTAATAAGTAAGTCCCTTTTACATGTCTGAACCAAAGCGCTCATACGCCCGTGTTCATGTGAGGACTTGGGCAGAAGGGGAAAGGGGAGATCAGTGGTGTGATTGAGGGACCGTCCCCTGCCTTCCCAACCACTGTCAGGGCTGACCCAAACTCAAGGAGGCAACCCCCCCATGGGCAGAGCCTCTGTCACAGATATCAGGGGACCACTGGTAGCCAGGGCCGTACCTCAGAGTTGGCAGGCACCACAAACTGGGAGGGCAGGCTGATGTCAGGCACCCTGCATTCCATGGAGAAGGTCACCAAATAGGGCAGGGGGTTCTCCACCCTGATGGAGGCTGATGTGCTCTGCCGGACGGGGCTCGTCATCTCGATGGTTTTGATGATGCCTGAAGGGATGACCCTGAAACTCACCATGTAGTATAAGAACTCATTGGTCACTTCATTTCGGAAGATCACCTGGGTTGGCAGGGAGAGAGGGAGGAAGTAGGGCAGAGGAGGGGGGTTAGCAGAGGGGCTCCTGCTGTCTCAAGGAGCTCCTTCTCTCTGCTAGCATTGCCTGCGGACACGAAGCACGGGTGCCGGGCTGACATCGGCACTCCCACCCTGTCTGCACCCCCACCAGCCAGCCTTTCTCCTGCGGAGTTCCGCTCTGGCTCCTCCCAGGTAAGAGCTGATGGAACAGCCCGGGTTTGCTCAGAAGAGGCCAGAGCAGCACTGTCTAGTGCTGAAGGTGAAGGTGTCCAGGGGGACTGCTAGCTGGCCCCAGAGAGAAGAAGCAAGACCTCAAGAGCTTCATGCTGTAGTGGGCTTCACTCCTATGCCAGTTGCTGCTGGAATCGACAATAATATTAATAATGGTAATGACAGGGGCGCCTGGGTGGCTCAGTCGTTAAGCGTCTGCCTTCGGCTCAGGTCCATGATCCCAGGGTCCTGGGATCGAGCCCCGCATCAGGCTCCCTGCTCAGCGGGAAGCCTGCTTCTCCCTCTCCCACTCCCCCTACTTGTGTTCCCTCTCTCACTGTCTCTCTCTGTCAAATAAATAAATAAAATCTTAAAAAAAAATAATGGTAATGACAGCATCTAACATTTAATCAATGATTACTTTGTGCCAGGCCCAAGAAGTACTTGTTTAACGTATACAGCTTGCAGGCAGCATTATTATTCCCCTCACTGTTTCCTTTCTTTCTCTTGTTTGGTTTTGTTTTGGTTCTTTCTTTTTTTTTTTTCCCCAAGGAAACTGAAGTTCAGCAAAGTTAAATATCTTGCCAAGGTCACATGCAGAGAGAAGTGTCAGAGCCAGGACTTGAACAAGGTTGAAGTGACTCCAGAGCCCACCCTTGCGACTGCACTACATTGTCCCCTCACCCCTGCGACTGGCATGATAAGCTTCTGCTGCCAGTACACCCAGATTTCTGTCGGGTATCATTTTCCCTCAGACTGAAGAATACTTATTAGCATGTTGTCCAGTGATACCAGTCTGTTGGCACTGAATTCTCTCATGTTCTTTTATCTGAAAATATCTCCATTTTAAAGGATATTTTCAGTGAATGAAGAATTCTCGGTTGATAGAATTCAGCACTTTGCAGATGGCTTCCATTATATCTGAAGGGAAGTCAGTGGTCATTTTTATTATTGTCCCCTGTATGTAGCCATATTTTTAAATATCTGGTTGTTTCAAGCTTTTCTCTTTATCTTTGATTCTTAGCAGTTTTACTATGATGTGCACAGACATGCTTTTCTTGTATATCATGGTTATCTTTGTATTTTTCCTGCTTGAGGTTTGCCAAGTTTCTTGGATCTATAAATATATGTATTTTTAAAATCAAATCAGGGAAGTTTCATAATTTTTTTTTCAAATACTTTTCTGCCCCATTCTCACTTTCTTCTCTTCTGGGACTCATATTACCCATGTATTTTAAAATTTCATATTTTCTCACAGGTTCCTGAGGATCTGGTTCTTTTTATTCAATCTTTTTACTTTTAATTCAATCTGCTGTTAAGAACATCCAGTGAAACTTTCATTTCAGTTTATTGAAATTTTTAATTTTAATTTTAGAATATCCATTTGGTTCTTCTTTTTGTACTTTCCATTTCTCTGCTGAGATTCCTTATCTGTCCTTATTTAATTATTTGAAATGATTTCTTTTAGTTTTTTTTAAAGATTTTATTTATTTATTTAATTGACAGAGAGAGAGAGAGAGACAGCGAGAGAGGGAACACAAGGGGGAGTGGGAGAGGGAGAAGCAGGCTTCCCACCGAGCAGGGAGCCGGATGCGGGGCTCGATCCCAGGACCCTGGGATCATGACCTGAGCTGAAGGCAGTCGCTTAACCAACTGAGCCACCCAGGTGCCCCGATTTCTTTTAGTTCTAAACATGTTTATAATAGCTGGTTTGAGGTCTTTGCTAAATCTGGCCCATCCTGGAGTCCATTTTCATTGACTACATTTTTCTTGACTATGGGTCACATTTCCCTGCTTTGTCACAAATGTAGTAATTTCTGCTGGTGCACTGGACATTGCTGATGATCATTGTAGAGATTCTGGATTCTGTTATCTTCCTTGTAAGAGTGTTGATTTTATTCTAGGAGGCGGTTCAATCATTGACTTATTGACTTATCACCTTAAAGTTGTATAGGTTTGGTTTTATGCTTTGTTAGAGCAGATCTGTGGAAAGCTCAAGGTGTTTCTCAAGACCTTCCAACTTGGTGGGATTCAATCTCCAAATTTTGTCCTTCCTGCAGATCTTGTAGTTGCTTAGTTTTAGACTTTTTAAGGGCCTAAAAGGACTTATCCTAAGGGCATGGTCCTTTCTTCTGGCCTTTCTGGTATTTCACTGGATTCTTAGGATGTTGGTGAGATGTTGATGCAATCTCTTCATCTGGCGGAGCCAAACCTCCAATGTTCCCCAGCACTGATTAATGTATCTTTGTTTCTTTATCAACCTCTTTTGGAAGCTGTTCTCTGACAAATCTCATGTAGCCTCATTTTGTGCATGTGCAGGACAACTCTCAGCCACAGACTTTGAGGGGAACTCCCACACAGACTTCTGTCTCCCTTCCCTCCCAACACCCTGCCACTCCATACATTGCTCCCTCCACTCCTCTCCCACCCTGTCGAGACTAGCTATTTCAACTGCACCAAACTCTGATTTCTGCATTGTCAGTTCAATGGGGCAGCTGTGCTTTGCTTAGACTCCAGCTCACTGCACTGCAGTCAGGAAACTGTCCCTTGGCAGAGAGCCAGGACAATTATGGAGATTCATCGCATTAGCTTTTCTTCTCTTCAATGAATTGCAGTATTGTGCTCCTGTTGCCAATGCCTGAGAAGATGTGCCTCAGAAACTTTGCCCAGTTTTATGATCATTTATGGTGGGAAGAGTAGTTACTCCATTATAATCAGAAGAAGTACTTTTGATTTTTAAAAAACTTTTATGTTGTTAATTTTAATACATATTATTGTAAAGAGACTCTGTGATCTGTGTTCACCATCATTTTTACTTAACACTTTAAAACATATATTTACTTATATTTTTCTGTTCATATCTATAGTTTATGACTATCTTTATTCTTTCCCTACCCTTCTGGGGAATGAAAGAACATCTTTTATTTCCCCGTGTGCTTCCCACTGAATGAGAAAAAATTTTCATTGCCTTATTTTATTCCTCCCCTTGCTATTTCCTATATTGAGGTCATATGAAATATTCATTTCAGATTGCTTTTCAACAATTATTTGAAATACCTATCAATTGAAGTTTGATTCTTTGTTCATTGTATCCTTATGTTTTCCTCTTGAATTCACTTACTTGTTTTTAAAGTTTTGCTAATTAAAAAACTTTTAATTTTATAGTACTTCTTTCAAACATGGATTATATATATGGGTAGGTTACTTTGAGTCCTTGCATGTTTAAAAATGTCTTTATTTTGCCCTCGTAATGTTTTGTTTGGAAAAAGTTCTAGATTGAACATCACTCTAAGTTATATGAATAGCTTACTCCACTGCCCCCCCTTTTTTCTTGAGAGAAAGAGAGTGAGCATGCATGTATGCACATGTGATAGGGGTGGGGTGGCACAGAGGGAGAGGAAGAGAGAAAATCTTAAGCAGGCTCACAGGCTCCATGCCCAATGTGGACCCCATCATGGGGGCTCAAGCTCATGACCCAGAGATCATGATTTGAGCCAAAATTAAGAGTCAAACACTTAACCTACTGAGCCAACCAGGTGCCCCTCCACTGTTTCTTGTATTCAGTGTTATCATGAGAAATCTGATGTTATTGTGATTATTTCCTTTTACTTTCTCTAGAATCATTTAGGAATTTCTTTTTTATGCCAGTTTTCTACAATTTTGTTCTCATGTATTTAGATGTGAGGTTTTTTTTTTTCATTCACCCTATTTGGCAAGTTGTTGGGTCCCTTCAATTACAAGACTCAGTCTTTTTCTTTTTTTTTTTTTTTAAAGATTTTATTTATTTGAAAGAGAGAGAGAATGAGAGATAGAGAGCACAAGAGGGAAGAGGGTCAGAGGGAGAAGCAGACTCCCCGCTGAGCGGGGAGCCTGATGTGGGCCTCGATCCCGGGACTCCAGGATCATGACCTGAGCTGAAGGCAGTCGCTTAACCAACTGAGCCACCCAGGTGCCAAGACTCAGGCTTTTTCAAATAGCCCTGGAAAATTTTCTTCAACTATTTTGAAGAGTATTTTCTTCCTTCTATTATCTTGTTTTTCTGTTTTAGGAGCTCTTTTTTTAAAAATTAAATTTTAGTTAACATACAGTGCAATATTGGTTTCTGGAGGAGAATTCAGTGATTCATTTACATATAACACCCAGTGCTCATCACAACGAGTGCCCTCTTAAATCCTATCACCCATCTAGCCCATCCCCCACCTCCCTCCCTCCATTGATCCTTAGTTTTTCCCTATCATTAAGAGTCTCTTATGGCTTATTTCCCTCTCTCCTTTTTTTCTTTTCCCCCTTCCCATATGTTCATCTGTTTTTTTTTCTTAAATTCCACATATGAGTGAAATCATATGGTATTTGTATTTCTCTGACTGACTTATTTCACTTAGCATAATACTCTCTAGCTTTATCCACATCATCGCAAATGACAAGATTTCATTTTTTTGATGGCTGAATAATATTCCATTGCATATATACCACATCTTCTTTATCCATTCATCAGTCAATGGACATTTGCGCTTTCTCTATAGTTTGACTACTGTTGATGCTGCTGCTATAAATATCGGGGTGGATGTACCCCTTTGGGTCTGTATTTTTGTATCCTTTGGGTAAATACCTAGTAGTGTAATTGCTGGATCATAGGGTAATTCTATTGTTAACTTTTTGAGGAACCTCCATACTGTTCTCCAGAGTGGCTGCACCAGTTTGCATTCCCACCAATCCTGCAAGAGGGTTCTCCCTTCTCCACATCCTCGCCAACACCTGTTGTTTCCTGTGTTGTTAATTTTAGCTATTCTGACAGGTGTGAGGTGGTATCTCATCATGGTTTTGATTTGTATTTCCCTGATGATAAGTGATGTTGAGCATCTTTTTATGTGTCTGTAAGCCATTTGGATGTCTTCTTTGGAAAAGAAGTCTTTTCTTCTTGTCTTCTGCCGATTTCTTAACTGGATTATTTGTTTTTTGGGTGTTGAATTTCTTATTAGGTGGATATTAGAACTCTTTGGTTTATATTTTATGTCTCATATTTCCTTCCATTCTTTTTCTGAAACAGCTTTATTGAGATGCGATTCACGTACCATATAATTCATCCATTTAAAGTGTATAGTCTCAAAGTGATGCAAATATCACCAGTCAATTTTAGACCATTTTCATCACCCTGAAAAGAAACTGTGTCCATTACCCATCATTCCCCATTTCCTCCTAACTCATCCACTCTTGCCCTAGGCATCACTAATTTATTTTCTCTTTCTATAGATCTGCCTATTCTGGACATTTCATATAAATGAAATCATATAATATGTGGCCATTTGTGACTGGCTCTGTTCAGCTAGCATAATGTTTTCGAGGTTCACCCTTGTGTTGCATGTATTAGCACTTCCTTTCCATTTCTTTTTGTTGCCAAATAATATTCCACTGTACTTATCCATTTGGATTGATGGACATTTGGTTTATAACCATTTTTTGGTCTTATGAATAATGCTGCTATGAACATTTATGTACAGGTTCTTGTGTGGACGTATGTTTTCGTTTATCCTGGGTACACACCTAGGAGTGAAATTGCTGAGTCACATGGTAACTCTATGTTTAACCATTTAAGGAATGCCAGACTGTTTTTGGCAGCAGCTGCACCATTTACACTCCCATCAGCAATGCATGACGGATCCAATCTCTCCATACCCTCTCTAGCACTTATTACTTCCTTCCATTCTTGTCATTCTTTGTGCTCATGTGCTTAAATCTGTGCTATTACTCAGTTCCTTCTTCTAACTTACTAGTAATCTCTTCCTCATTACACTATTCAGCCTTTCTCTATGGTTTTCTATTACAAACATTGCATTTTTTATTTTCCGGGTCTCTAATTGCTTATCTTCCGTAATAGCCTGTTCTTCTATTATGGGTAGGATTATCTTCCTTTATTCCTTTGAGGATATTAGTAATATTCACTAAAAATATTCTGTTTGCTTTAATACATCTTTTATCTTAGGGGTTCCTCTTTGTTGAGCTGGTATTTCTATTTATAGTGGCTTTTTTTCCCCTTCAGATGTTTCATGAGACCTTGATTTTAAGGTTCTCTGTTAGCCTGTGAGTGTGATCTGAGTGGAGCAGGCCACCTCAGTGGTTGTAGGAAAGGATGACATCTACTGCATGGGTTTTGCTACTATCTCTTCTGGAGGGAGGAGATGCGTTCCTAGTTTTTTTCTTTTATCACTTTAAAATCTTTCCCTAGCTTATTCCATCTTTCATCATAGCTTCTAATACTATCTATAAATAAGTAATTTCTACATTATCTATAAATGAGTAATTTCCATATATTATCTTCAGCCCTAACCCCACCCTTGAGCTACTGATCCATATGTGCTCCTTTTCTTCAAAGTGTGTATCTCATTTTGTAATTATACATTCATAGTACCATTATTTGGTTAATAGCCTTCTTCTTTCACTGGACTGGGCATTCCACGAAGACAGAGACCGTGCCTATTTGTGATCATTGCCGTGCTGCCAGCACTTAGTATGGTATGTGGCCGAAATGCTCATAGGTACTTGTTGAACTAATGAACGAATTAGGAGAAATAGTTCATGCATGAAAGGCCCCGTGGTATCTTGGAGCAGGTGCCTCTGCGTTGAATCCTCGCTCTGACATTACCAGTTGTGTGTACTGAGTGTTCAGTATGGTGCTAGCCACTTGCAGCACTGGGAAAAAGGGATCTTTTCTTATTATTGTGGTCTGGTGTTTGCTGGCCTAGTGTTATTCACTACTTAAGGATTTTCATGATTCTGCTGCTTTGAATGTTTGGTGTCGGTCTACATGACAGATGGATGGCCCTGCAGTCTGGCTCCATCTTAAAGAGGCTGGGAATCCTGAAAGCCTTTGCCAGGTCACTAAATGGTTAGCCCAACAGGATGAGGATAGGCTGGCCGTGGAAGGGCATCTTCACTCCCTAACACCAGGATCATCACCTCAGGGGCAAACCTCCAGGGTTCCAGGGAAATGCTTTTAACATGTAGATACCTTTGCACTGTATAGTCCCTCCTTGTGGGAAAAGAAGTTCAGCTTATAGTCTTTCTTGGAGCCAGACAGTACATCAATGTAGTCAAGGCCTTTTAAGGTGACGCTTAGGTCTGGCTTCTCTGGTTTTATCATTTCCACAATGACCCGGAATCTGGGGGGACACAGAAGCACATGAAGAGAGGATAGAGAAAATGTGACTGTCTGCCCAAAGGAAAGAAGGAAAGGTGCTATTTCTACTCCTGACTTTATGACAAGCACGTGGGTCCAGGGCTCTGGTCTTTCCTTTGTCTCTAACAATACCAATAACTACGATTTATTGACACCTATTATGTGCCAGGTGCTGAGTCAGGGCTCCACATGTGTTCCTAGTAAAACATGGAGTTACATATGATTATCACCTCTGTCTTACTAATGGGGAAACAGAGGCCAAGAGGAAACATGCTCAGATAACATGCCTAGTTATTGGTAGAACCAGGATTCAAACTTAGGTCTGGGCCTTCATCCATTATGCTACCTGGCAGCCTTCAGTAAGTAAACCTCTTCTCCCAGCCTTTGGCTCCTTCTCTGTAAAAGAAGGGGACAAGGCTGCTAGTCTTCAAGCTTCTCTAGCCCTTGTATTCTACTCTAGTCCCACTGCAACTAAAGATCCAAGGGACGTCCTTCTCTGGCTAGTGGCTGAGGTGATATGGTGGAGCACTCGATAATAACCACCACGATTCTCATTTTGACAGTAATAACAGCTAACATTTACTGAGCACTTATTTTGTGCCAGGCCCTGGTCTAGGAGACTTAGGTACTCCGCTATTCACAGATAGCACTGGGGGTCTGGAAGCTTAGAGGTCAGGCAGTGCCTGTTCACATCAGGGAAATTTGTCTCTGATTCTTTCAGTCCCTCAATGTCCTCTAGAAGTGCTGACCAGGTGAAAGGCCAGGCTAGACAGTGGATGTCCTCCCTCCTCCATCTCCTCCACCCGGACTCCTTGCCCCACTCCCTCACCTCTGGGGCTTGTTAAGCCAGTTGCTGATTGGCAGGAGTTCAACGTAGGGTGTCTTACATGGTACTTCACGGAAGATGTTGGCCACGGCTTTGGGGAGTTCAGAAACCCCATGCAGCATATACAGCCAGCCAGTCCCATCGGGGAGGGGGAAGAAGAGGGTGCCCTAAGGAGAAGAAGCGTGGTCAGAATGGCACAGAAGGTCCCTTATTAGCTACCTCTCAGGCATGGTAGTAACACAGGGTTAACGTAGGCCCTGACATAAGCATAACTCTTAGAAAGCAGCGTGGCAGTATGTTTTAAGAGTCATAAAAGTGTTCATATGTATTTGAACCAGGAACCCCACCCCAAGGAACTTGAGAGCCTATGCTCTACCGATTGAGCTAGCCGGAGGCTTTACCCGAGGGAACTTAAAAATCCCTTCAGAGGAAAAAGCTGCATACACACACACATATATTAAAACCATTTATAGAATTGATGAAAATTTGGTAATAACTTTCATATTCAACAACTGGGGAATGTTAAATAAATTATGGAACTCTCAAAGAAATATTAGACAATCATTAAATATGATGATCACAAAGACTATCTAGTGAAACAGAAAAATGTTCATGATATAATGTAAAGTGAAAATAAACAGAAGGCAAAATTGGGTATGTGATGATGGCAGCTATGGCTGTATCTGAATGAGGGCTGGTAGTGAAGATAGAAGAAAATAGTTCTCCTTTTTTAGGGTTGAAGATTACGGCTTCTTTCCTTTTTTATTTTTATTACAGCCACGATGATGTTATTTGTGCAATTAAGCTAAATATTAATTGCTTGATGCTTAGTCCAGGACTCTTTCAGAACTGTGCCCCTCATTCCAAGAGAATCGCCTATACATGAAAACATGTGGGCACCAAGGGAGGCTTTGGACTCGATAATCTGCATGATTCCCTATTGTTCCAACATGATTCATGGGGTCCCCTCTCGTTTGAACATTCTCTGAGCCCCCAAACTCTGTCTCCTCACCTCTTTTGCACCACTCTTCCCCCTCCAACCACATGGGGAAACCAAAGTGGGTGGGGGAAGCCTCATTCTACCTGATGTTTGCGGTTCTCCAAGTTCATGGTGCGGGGTCTGTAGGTGATCTCATAGGGCTTGTTTTGCTGATGGGGCTCCAGGGTAATGAACTCCGGCCCCTCCCAGTGCTCGCCCTCAAAGATGGGGTGCAGGTTCCAGGTCTGGTTGGTGCGGTTTGAAAGCAAGATGGTCTGCGTGTGCTTGGAGCGCACCTGGCAGGTGAAGTTTACCACCTGGAAGAAAGCAGGCACCTCAGGCAGGTGATGGAATTTACACATGAGGAGTTCGAGGAAAGGTTCAGGATGGAGATACATATTTGGGAGTTGAGGGTATGCCATTTTTTTTTTTTTTTAAGGCCAAGAAACTGGATGAGATTGTCAGGAAGTTAATTGTTTTTAGAAAAAGAAGAAATTTAAAAACTAATTCCTGACCGGCACACACCCATGTTAAGAAAAATCAGAAGAGATGAGAGGGAGCATCTAATAAGGTAGGAGGAAACCTAGGAAAGGGTGGTATCCTAGGAAGCATGTGAGGAAAGTGTTGGAAGGATCCTCCTTTAAGGGACTTGTTCAAGGTATCAAATGCTATCAACAGGTCAACAGTTGAGAACTGACCACCGAATGTAGCAATGGGGACAGTGTGGCAGTGGTGGTAAGAACAGTCAAATAGACTAGCAGACGAGAACAGAATTCAGCAATAGAGCTGCACCTATATGGTTAAATGGTTTCTGACCAAGGTGCATAGGTATTTCAGTGGAGAAATGATAATTTTTTCAACAAATGTTGCTGGAACAATTGGATATCAGTATACAAAAAAATACAATGAAATGAATTTTGATCCATATCTTGCACTACATACACAAGTTAACTTTAAGCAGATTGAAGATCTAAATGTAAAATTTGTGTCCTGAATATATGAAGAACTCTCAAAACTCAATAAGAAGAAAACAAACAACCCAGCTAAAGATAGACAGAAAATTTGAACAGATACTCCAACAAAGATGATATATGGGTGGCAAATAAATACCCGAAAAGATGCTCAACATCGTTAGTCGTTAGGGAGCTGCAAATTAAAAAACACAAGGAGACACCACTACATATCTATTAGGATGACTAAAATTAAAACAACTGACTGTATCAAGTGTTGGCAAGATGTGACATAGCAGAAATGTCAGACATTGCTAGTAGAAATGTAAAATGACACAACCACTTTGGAAAACAGTTTAGTAGGTTTTTAAGAAAGTAAATATATGCCTGCTCTATGACCCAGCCATTCCATTCCTAGATATTTACCCAAGAAAATGAAAGCATCTGTTCTTGCCAAGACTTGTACATACATGTTCAGAGCATACCGTATGAGTCCATTTACATAACACTCTTGAAATAATGGGATAGTAGAGATGAAGATTGGGTGTCATTTTCGCCATAAGCGTTTTTACCGTAAGTGGAACACAGTCCATTCTCAGGTTTCTATGGACATGGCTAGCAGAGGATTAACTCAAGGCCCCCTCCCCCCTTTATTAATGAGAGAGAAGGAGAGAAAGGTGTTTACCCTTTACTTACAGAGCGTGTAACAGAATTTGATCTAGCCAGAGATATCAGTTAAATCTTCCTTGAGAATGTGATGCTTGAGTTGAGGGCTGAAGAATGAATAGGATGAAGAGGGAAAATGAATATTGCTGGAGTGGGAACAGATTATGCAAAAGCCCTGTGGCAGGGGTTGGGAAGCAGGTCTGAATGTTTGATGTTGGCAGCAAGGACTGTTTGAACAGAGTCACTTGTTTCTAGAAGCCCTGGCTGAATTCACTTGTGGAGCTTGCTGGGCCCACTCTGGCCACTGGCCCATCTGTGGGCAGCATCTACTGACCTCTTTTACTGCAGGTGGTCCCACGCAGACTCCAGATAGGGTCAGGCTCAAGGGATTGCCTCCCTGGATGAAGCAGAGCAAGTTTTTATAGAGACTCTCCTTGCCCACTTCAGTGGGATGGTAGGTCACTTTGAACGAAACCTCCATGCCCACAGTGATATAGCCTTCTTCTGGGCTGATGGAGAAATGAGGCTCAAATTTTTTGACATCCCATTTAAACCTTTTCCAAGATAAAAGGAGACAAGAAAGACAGTTTACTAGTATCCTGGGGGTGTCCTCAATGCTGCTGAGATCAAGAGACTTTGCCTGGGCTTTTAGCTGGGAGGTTTACCTGCTAATGAGCACTCCCTGGGACCTGGGAGGAAGACCACCACTGAGTGCAGCAGAGGCAGTGGGGACAAGAGCCAGGTCTCTCCTGGGTAAGATGGCTCAGCTGCCTCTCAGACCAGAGCAGGGTGGGAAGGGGCTGCATCTTATCTTATGGTCCACCAGTGGCTCATGCGGGAACATGTGCATGAATGCACTAACACATGTGTATCCAAGATCACATGGCTAGGAAGTGATTGGGCTAGGACTGGAACCCTCCCGAGACCGTGGTTATCAGCAACCCCTCCCCACCCCACCCCCCATCCAGGAGGGCAGAGGCGATGCAGGTGAGCATTGCACCTGCTTTTGGTGGCACTGGGACCTGAGGGCCCTGTGTAGTCATCCCTCTGTGGGCCAATGGGAGACAGAGGTTGGGCGGTGCAGACCTGTGCTTCCAGCACTCGGGGCCCCCGCCACACCACACTCTCAGGGCACTGTTCTCACTGAGGTCTGGGCGAGGGTGCCCCCTGCAGGTATTCCGTGCCCGCCTGCATGGCTATGGGGGCCTGCCTGAGTAGTGACGGGGGTGGGCACCTGCTAGCTAGAGGGAAGAGCCTGGAGAGGAGAGCGGTCACAGATATACTTGGGTTCCAATCCCGTCTTTTTCCCCCACTTCTTGGCTATGTGACCTCAGGTCAATCACCTGACCTCCTTGAGCCTCACATTCATCTGTGAAATGGGGACAACAGAGGACCTTACGGGGGCCTGGGATAATTAAGTGGGAGCTTATATGTAAGAATGCTCAGCACTGTACCTGCACAGTGTGAGTCCTTGCTAAATGCATGATTTTGGTAAAGTAATCTCAGTTGTCTCATCTGTAAAATGGATCAGCCATGGAACTGTTTGGGATTAGCCAAGAGGAGCCATGTAAAGGGCATAGAACAGGCACCAAGCAAATGTTCTCGATGACATTAATTTTCGTCATCCTGGCAGCAACAGTCACCCGAGCGGGACCACTGCTGTCACATCTGAGCGATGGGAGGGGATGTGAAAGGGAGGGGAAAGAAATACCGAGTGGCCTGACTTGTGAAACAGATGTCATGTCCAGATCCAGTGCAAAGCCAGTGTCACAGGGCCGTGCTAGCCTCGGGGTGGGCACACCGCTCTCCTACCTTGCACCCATGTCACCCGTGTTCAACATAAGGATGCGACGCGTGGCTTGTGTCTGATACACGACTGGTCCAAAGGGGAGATGCTCCTGGTCCAGGGAGATCTCCAGGGCCTGGCAGCAGCCGCTGAGGAGGAAGAGGGGACGCAGGAGCCCCATACATTCCATGAACACCTCCTCGGAGAAGGGAGGGATGCGCTTCTTTGGGGCAAAGATGACTTCCAGCTTACAGACCTCTTTGGGCTTCAGAGTGATGTTGTGGAATGGTATCAGGGTGATGACCTGGACAAAACCACAAGGAGACTCAGCCACTGAGGGCAGGGGCACCGGAGGCATCCATTCCTGGGTCTTGCTCTTAGGGCTACAACAGCCCAGGGGTCAGATCCCATTCTGCTCCCTCCTACTGGCCAGGTCATCTTTGGCAAGTTACTTAAACTTTCTGTGACTTACTCTATGGTGAAGATTCAGATCATCTGTATAAATGTGTGGCATGAAATAGGCATTTTATAAATGTTAATTCTCTCTTCAACTCCTTGCAGCAAATGACCCCTACTCTCTGGTGGAGGAAATAGTATGATAAGAGGAAAGAGGAAACACTCAGTGCTCTGGTGTCTTTCCAAGGAGGGCTCCCTGGCCTCTCTGTACCATGTTCCCTAAGGTGCTGTTTCAGATGCAGATTCCCAGGTCCTTCCTCAGGCCTACGGAATTTTGGGAGAGCCTGGAACTCACATCTTCAAAAGTGCCCTGACCCATGTGTTCTAGAGTCTGAGAACTGCTGTTTAACTTCGTATACTCTCCCTTTCCTGCTTTGTCCTGGCAGAAATCAATCAAAATCAGCTCGAAGGAAGCCGAGGCTCCTTCCACGCTTGTGTTCCCTGGGGTGCAGAGCGGGGGACTGTGGCGGCAGGGGTGAGATGAGCTGAAAACTGCACCGGGACCGCCTGGGGCCACTGGGCCAGTACAAGTGGCTTGGCCCAACGGTCACGGGCCCTGGCCGAGTGGCACTGAGGATGTCGCCTTGGATGAATGAGGAAACGAAAGCAACAAGTTGGCCCTGTCTCTGGATGGCAGCATGGGCCCTGGGATGAGATACCCACAGGCTCTCTTGCTCTGGCTAGCTCCCTCAGCCCATTTTCCTGTCTCTGGCAAACCCCAGATGGTTCTCAGTGCTCCTGCTGCACCACCTCACGCCTGGACGTCCACAAGCACAGACTCTTCGGAGACCATGTACCTTTGCCTGCGAGCACACCGCTCTCCAACCTGTCTGCCTGCAAGACACCTCTTCACCCTAACCTCAGTACAGGCCTCCCTCCACGTGAGGCCTCCCAACAGCCCCCAGCTGTCCTCTGAGCTGCCCCTTCCCAATTCACACCCTGCCTCTGTAGTTTCTAGGCTGTTTGGGTGTTATTTCTGTGTCAGTGACCCCTGAAGACTGGAAACTCCACCAGACCAGTCTATGTCATATTCACCTTGCTATGGACTGAATTGTGTCCCCCAAATTCACATGTGAGTGGCGTCCAGCCTTTAAGGGGTAATTAGGTTTAGATGAGGTCATGAGGGTGAGACCCTTGTGACAGGACTAGAGCCCTTGTAAGAAGAGACGCCAGAGAGCTGGATCTCACTGCCTCTCTGCTGGGGGGGCATATGGCAAGAAGGTGGTCATTGTGAGATTATGGGGAAAATGGTTTTCTTTATGACTTACCATATTTTTCAAACTTTCTACAGGATACATTCATGAGGATCCCAGATCTACTGAATCGCATCCCTTTCTCTTTCACTCTGCTGCCCTTTCAAAGTATGCAGTCCCTCTAAGCTTTGGTGTCCTTCTGTGTAAAATGAGAATAACGAAAGCACTAGCCCTACACTGCTTTTGTGAAGACACTCAGAGGTAGCACACGGGAAGCTCTTAGAATGGTCTGCACGCTGTAGGTGCACAAGAAGCGTGAGTAGTCAGTGTTGCTAACATGGTCATCCGTACCATCGGGACGCATGAAGAGCCCCCTGGGAGCCCTGAGCACCAACCTTTGGTTCCTGGAGTTCTGGAATTGAGAACAGGACTGACAGGCTGAATGTGAGCTGGGTGTGGCTGGTGTTCATGATGGAAACCGTTTTTTTCACAACCTGTCCCGGCAGGACAGCTCCTAACTTCACAGTCCTGTTGGCTGGATCCAGGACTGAAATCTGCAAAACAGGAAAGAGAGCAGGGAGGGAGGGTTTCATCAGTTACTGAGAAAAATAACCACCATGATACATCCACTCTGGCGAGGCAAGGGATGTACCTCTCTCTCAGTGTCCTGCCTTCTTCATACAGGATGGGTATTCACTCACCCAGTAAACACTCATGGGCATAAACTACCCCCCAGGCAGCTCATTACACAACTACATAATTACAACAGGGTCAAGGGTCGTGAAGGAAAAGCTCAGGGTACCTTGAGAGCACATTACAGAGGCTGACCTGGCGGGCAGTTCTGGGGAGGCCTCCCTGAGAAGGCATGTCTACACTGCACTGGGAGCTAAAGGAAGGGTAGGATCTAGTCAGGTTGAGTCGGGGTGGGCGTGAGATTGGAGGCACTCCGGGGGCAGGGGACACTCTGTGGCGAGGCCCTGAGTTGGAGGAGTGACTCAGCCAAGGCCTGGGTCGGGGAATGGGGGGCATCCTGAGAAGACAGGCTTGGAGGTAGTCAGGGTTCATGCCGGGAGAAGTGGGAAGCTGGGGCAGCATGGACTGGCCCCGTCAAACGCGGTTTTTGGGAGTGCTCTGGCCTGCCTCTCCGTGGAGACGGGCTGGAAGGGGGCGGGAGAAGAAGCCTGGAGGAGAGGCCGGTGCCGAGCGTTCAGACTAGAACGGCGGCAGCAGAGGTGCGACAGTGGACACGCTTCCGAGTCCTCGTCAGGCACTGGTCCCGGGGTCGGCCGGGATGGACTGAGCTCAGGCTGGGCCTGGCCCGCAGGACTGTGCGGCATCATCCATGGGTCACTGTCATTCGATCAGTCCCTAAACTGCATACCCCCTGCTCCTCAGCGTTCTTGATATCCAGCCCACATGCTTCCATTCTGTCTCAGAAGCTGAGAGTCCCTGGCAGTAGCCTGTGCTCCCGGAGGCCCCCTCCGGACTTCCCCCAAAGGACCTAGCACACAGTGAGTGCAGAGTGAGTGAGCGACAGAATGAACAGTGAGATTGGAAGAGACCCCCCCGCTCTGGCTTGGGTGCAGACACGCCAGGTGGCCATGTCCTGGGGCTCCTCTAGCTCGATGGGAAGGCTGCCAGGGAGACCTCCCTCCTATCGCTCCCACATCTTCTCTCTCTCAGTGGCTGAAAGGTCCCATGCATTCCTCAGCATCTGGGAAAGCCTTCTGTCTTCCAAAACCTTCTATGAAAATGCAAATATGCCAAACAAACAGACACCTTAAATGTTTACCAGACACTGGGTATAAAGGGATTAGCAGCAGGACTTTCATCAGGAGCACCTACTTAGAAGAGATGCCCTCAATCAAACATAATCCTAAGATCTGTGCCTGGCAGAGACTACTAATCAATGTGGCATTAAGGAAAGATGTTCCACAAGTGAAACTTACGTCTGCATAGGTAACCAAAACAAACTGTTGTCCCAAACAAATCTAGCCTATTAAACCTGAAAACAGGACAAGCCCTGATATAAGAGGGGAAGGACGTGCTCAGGATTACGTATCTGACAGTCTCCAACTTCTCCAAGAAAAAGAGTGTTTCTCCGGTGCCTGTGATTCCTTGTAGCCTACGGTACACTAAAGTTTGGTGCTGAGTAAGAGTCGGATTTGACAGTTCATCCTTCGGTAGGACTGGCTGGCCTCTGACAGAGTAGCTGGGGGGCCGGACAGGTGGAGAGGGGAGGAAGACTGGGCTCGGGGGGCGCAGGTGACTGGGAGGGCCAAAAGGAGGGGGCCGAGCCCGAGGCTCTCACCAACAGTCTCTTACCTTCATTTCAGTGCCTTTCCCTTTGATTTCAATTATTTGTTGTGAGAGCCCATTGATTTCAAAGGGGATGAGTTCTCGGTATTGGATACTTTCTCGAGGATAAAAGGTGATTGGAATCTCCAGTGTCTTTCCCGGCTTTATCACATCGACACGGAAGTTCACCTCGAGGTACGTGGTATTGGTGTACAGACAGTCTAAGCTAGAGAAAATCAGGAGGAAGGCGTGGAAGTTAGAGGGCCCGCATATTTCCATTTTGTCTACAAAGGAAGAGGGTCTGCAGCACCAGCCTGTGCTCCTGGAGGTCAGAGCACATGTTTAAGTCACCCCGAAAGACCAATTCTGTCCCCTTGTCTCTCTGAGCTGGGTTCTGATGGACTTCCTGCCCTGCTGCCCTGCAGTCACAGGATGTAAGGGTTGGAAGCGACCTCAGCAGTGGTCCAGCCCAAAGCCCCCTGGCATAATCCAGTTACTTACCCCAAATTACACCCTGAGATCCCGGCAGAACTGGGCCTCAAACTCAAAAGTGCCGTGGCCCTTTGCTCGACGCAAAGGAAGGAAATACTTCCTGGGGCGCCTGGGTGGCTAAGTAGGTCAAGTGTCCGCCTCCCTGATTTCAGCTCAGGTCATGATCTCAGGGTCGTGAGATGGAGCCCTGCGTTGGGCTCTGTGCTGGGCGTGGAGCCTGCTTAACATTCTCTATCCCTTTCCCTCTGCCCCTCTCCTCCCACCTCCACCCTGCGAAAGTGCTCTCTCTTTCTAAGAAAAAAAAGGAGGAGGAAATGCTTCCTAAGTAACTGGGTGGCAAAGCACAGCGGAGAGGAGTATGTGTTCTGAGTCAGAGAGACAGGAGTTTGGATCCGGGCTCTAATCACTAACCAGCCATGAGAACTGAGAAAAGTTACTTGGCCCCTTTGGGCCTCTGTTGCCTTATCTGTAAAGCTGGGTTAGTGACAGCTACTTCATAAGGTTGTTGTGAGCATGAAATGGACTAGAGCGACTGAGTCAGTCACTAAGCAGGGCAAAGAGGAGACATTCCACAAAGGTGAGCTGTTCTCGTTATCACTAATTGCCCAAGTACAGGGCATCTTCGAAGACCATGTCCACTCTATTCCACCTGTGGGTAGGAAGGCACGAGACCTCTCCACTACAACACTTCCTTGTCTGTCTTCCAGGCATTTAAAGAAGGAGTCCAGCTAGGCCAATAAACAGAACTTAACGCCTTCACGTAGGACTCCGATTGAATTAAATCATGTAGGAAAGAGTACAGGTAGATAAGATTTTTAATTAGAATTTCAAATCACATGACACTCTTGTAACGAATGCTTCAGGTTGATAACCATCATCATCCTAGCAGCAGCAGCAGCAGCAGCAGCAGCAGATAACCATAACTGAGTGTTATCCTATGTTCCAGGCACTGTTCTCAGGACTTTCTCTGGGGGACCTAATTTAATCCTCCTAATAGCCCCGTAGGGGAGATGCTATTATTATCCACCATCTCAGGCGAGGAGAGTTGAGAACATGTGCCCAAGGTCGCACAGCTAGGGAAGAGGTGGGCTTTGAACTTAGGCCTGTGCTATCCAATACAGTAGCCACTAGACCCAGTGGCTATTCAAATTCAAATGAATTAAAATTTAACAAATTAAAAATTTGGTCCCTCAGTTGCACCAGGCACAATTTACGTGCTCTGCAGCCTCTAGTTATAGGCTGCCATATTGGACAGCACAGATACGTAACAGTTCCACCGTCCAGGAACGTTCTCTTGCATAGTACTAACCTAGAGGGATTTGAGGAAACACAGGTCTCTGGGCTAGTCTCTGGAAATCCTGTTTCAGTAGGTCTGGAATAAGGCCCAGAAACCCGTACTGGAACATTCTACACAGGGATGGTGCAGAGAGGCTGGATTTTAATCAGAAGATTTAAGCTCGGCATAGATCTGTTATTTACTACAAAGTAATGGCCTGACAAATTCACTTTTTAACTCTTCAAACCTTGGTTTCCACATCTATTATGTGGGGAAAGTAAACGGAAGCCAATGAACCTCTCATCAGGTCATCTGGTATTGCCCTCCTCATTTTAAGATTTTTCAGCAGAGTAGCTCATGGCTACCCAAGTATTAGTGGTGGGGAAAGGAGACTTGGGATTCATGCCCAGCTGTATTTGATTCTTTCCCATAATCTTCCTTTTTCTGTTTTGGCAGGACTTCACCTGTAGGACCCACAAGGAGCTACAGACTCCTCTGGAAGCTCTGGGAAGTCTGCGTACCTCATAGACGTTTCTTCCTTGTTGGTGACAACCAGGATTTGTTTGTATGGGGGCATCCCAGCTTGGTAGATGAAGCAGGTCCCAAAGTTGTAGCTGGTGAAGGAGAAATGAACAGCTGGGCTCACAGCGCAGCCTGAGATGCTGCACAGAAATGTAGGGCCGTGGCTGATCTGTGGGGAGGGAATGGCAGGCAGAGAGTGATTAGAAGTGTGAACAAAGGGCTCCTCAAGTCCTCAGGTGAAGGAGGAAAGCAGTTGGTGCTTTTCCAAAAAAAAAAAAAAAAAAAAAATACAGGTGCCAGGACTCCATGGGCAGAGATTCTGATTCACAGGTTAGAAGTTTGTTTACTTGGGGCGCTTGGGTGGCTCAGTCGTTAAGCATCTGCCTTCGGCTCAGGTCATGATCCCAGGGTCCTGGGATCGAGCCCCGCATCGGGTTCCCTGCTCCGCGGGAAGCCTGCTTCTCCCTCTCCCTCTCCCCCTGCTTGTGTTCCTCTCTCGCTGTGTCTCTGTCAAAAAAATAAAATCTTTAAAAAAAGAAAAAAAAAAGAAGTTTGTTTACTTGAGGAAAGCACAGTGGGATACTCTGCAATCAGACCCTGCATTGGCTCCTGCAGCCGTGATTCAGCTGGAAGGCAGAGGTGTGGCAGACTGCTAGTTACTGTCCCCCATCTGCCTCCCAAGGGTTCCCTATCAGCAGGACTCTGCTTAGTTGCCAAGGTGCCGGGGTGGAAATACTAGAGTTCCTATCCTTCCTGGACACTAAGGGAGGTCATCAGACCTAGTTCTGGTCATCAGGGTATAAACAGAAGAGGACAAGAAGGTGTCCTATTTTGAATACAGAGGTGGTCTCCCTGGGAAAGTTTGGTTGGTTGTTGGTTTTTTGTTTATTTTGCCTTCAGGCTCTTCCCTCTTATTTCCACGTTGAATGCAGACCCAGGGCTGCAGGGCAGATGGTCCCCTTGTGATGAGGAAAGGACAAGAAGGAGGTCAAAGGCCCCTATGTCAAGGGTGAAAGAGTGGAGAAATATAAAGAGTATGGGTCATACCTGGACTCTCAACAAGATGACATACACGCCTGTTGGGACATGACCTTAATTTGCTCTTCAGAAACTTTATAATATGAAATTTCCTAAGTTGAAAATTTATTTAAAACAAATATCCCCTATTTATCCTAAACATCATTAGAATAAGCATTATAACAGTCATTGGTACAAGTTTTCGTAAGTGACTTTATAAACTGAAAAACAGTTTCTTACTTAAGGCTTTTAAAGTCTTTGTATTTTGTGACTGATTCCCTGTAAAGGATTAAGATTGACCACCTTCAACTCTTCTGCTAATTAGAGCAGGAAGGTACTACGATGTGTGTGATGTTTCTTTTTTCTGTAAGACATGAAAGTTCTGAAAAAAGACAGTTCTCCCAAGGGATGGGCTCCTTCTGAGGTGGCGTGCCTGGCTCTTCACAGGGAAGATGGCTGCAACATTGCCCTTGAGTTCCAGGCTAGGAGTTTTACGGTTTTGTTTTTTCTAACTGAAAAAAAAATTTTTTTTAGACTGTCCTATGACTTCATGTCCATCTAAATTATGGACTGTCCAGCAACTGACTGTGGGTTCCAACTGTTTACCCCCTGGTTCCCTGTCAGTCACCTTCTCCTTAAGTATACGAATAAAGACCATGTCTCTTCACTCTGTCAACTGTTGCTTTTGCTGTGCAGAAACTTTTGAGTTTGAGGTAGTCCCGTTTCTTTGTTTTTGTTTTTGTTGCCTGTGCATTTAGTGTCATATCGATGAAGTCACTGCCAAACCAAGGTCATGAAACTTTCCCCTGATATTGTCTTCTAGGAGCTTTATGGTTTCAGGTCTTATGTTTAAGTCTTTAATCCATTTGCAGCTGACTTCTGGGGATGGTGTAAAAGGCTCAGTTTCATTCTTTTGCATATGGATATCCAGTTTTCCCAGCATCATTTGTTGAAGAGACTCTCCTTTCCCATTGTGTATCCTTGGCACCTTGTCAAAGATCAGTTGGCCATATATATGTGCATTTGTTTCTGGGCTCCCTATTCCGTTCCACTGGTCTAGGGTCTGTCTTGATGCTGGTACTATACTATTTTGATGGTACTATACTATTTTGATATTAGCTTTACAATATATTTTGAAATCAGGATGTGTGATGCTTATAGCCTTGTTCTTTCTCAGGATTGATTTGGCTATTTGTGTTCTTTCGTGGTTTTGTATGAATTGTAGAACCGTTTTTCTGTATTTGTAAAAAAAAAATTCCGTTGGGATTTTGATAGGGATTGCACTGAATCTATAGATGGCTTTGGGTAGTACGGACATTTTAACAATATTAAGGCTTTCCATCCACAAACAGAGGATGTTTTTCCATTTATTTGTGTCTTTAATTTCTTTCACCAGCATTTTGTAGTTTTCAACATACAAGTCTTTCACCACCTTAGTTAAGTTTATTCCTGAGAATTGAATCCTTTTCTGTGATATTGTTAATAAGATTATTTTCCTAATTTTCTTTTCTGGTAGCTTCTTATTAGCATATAGAAAAGCAACTGATTTTTGTTTGTTGACTTTGTGTCCTGCAACTTTACTGAGTTATTTTATTAATTCTAACAGATTTTTTTTAATTTAAAGATTTTATTTACTTATTTGATAGAGAGAGCACAAGCAGGGGGAGGGGCAGAGGAAGAGGGACAAGCAGACTTCCCACTGACTGGGGAGCCTGATGCGGGGCTCAATTCTAGGGCCTTGAGGTCATGACCTGAGCTGAAGGCAGATGCTTAACTGACTGAGCCACCCAGGTGCCCCAATTCTAACAGATTCTTTTAATGGAATCTTTTGGGTTTTCTATATATAAGATCATGTTGTCTGCACACAGGGATAATTTTACTTCTTTCTTTCATTCGATTTGGATACCTTTTCTCTTTTTCTTGTCTAATTGCTCTGCCTAGGACTTCCAGAAGTGGTGAGAATGGGCGTCCTTGCCTTGTTCCCGATCTTAAAGGAAAAGCTTTTAGCTTTTCACTAATGAGTGTGATGTTAGCTGTGAGCTTTTCATATATGACCTTTATTATGTGGGAGTACTTTCCTTCTAATCCTAGTTTGTTGAGAGTTTTTGTTATGAATTTTGTCAAATGCTTTTTGCCACTTCTATTGAAATGATCACGTGATTTTTATCCTTTATTCTGTTAATGTCAGATATCACATTAATTGATTTTTGTATGTTGAACCATCCTGGCATCTGAGAGATAAGTCCCACTTGGTTGTAGTGTATGATCCTTTCAATGTATTCTTGGATTTGGTTTACAGGTATTTTGTTGAGGATTTTTGTACCTATATTAATCAGGGATCTTGGCCTATGGTTTTCTTTTCTTGTGGTGACTTTCTTTGGCTTTGGTATCCAAAAGAAGTGAAATCAGGACCTTGAAGAGATATTAACACTCTCATATTTAGTATAGCACTATTCACAGGAGTCAAGATGTGGAAACAACCTAAATGTTCATCGACAGATGAATAAAGAAAATGAGGTGTATACACACAATTCAGCCATTTTTCTTGAATAAAAGATCTTAGGATTCTTGCTAGCCTTTGGTTAATTTCAAGAGTTCTGAAAAAGGTTGCTTTTGCTAGTTTTTGCCAGTGTTCTCATCACTATGGAAGAGCAGTTCTTCAAAGGTCCTTCTCTGCCATTGCTGCGGACATCATAATTTCCTGGTTTTTTTCATTCAATAACTTATCTTGGAAAATGTTATACATATTTTGTCTCCCTTGCTTCCTCTCCACCTCCCATCTGTCTCCCTTATTTATTTTAATAGCTGCATAGGATTCCAGTGCATGGATGGTCAACTGCTTTTCAATGGACACTTATTCACCAGGTGCCTCAACTGTGGATAAGGCCTTTATACTAGAGATTGTGAGACTATCTCCAACATGACCACTCTCTAGGAGCTTCTGGCAGGGTGGAGAAGACAAGGAACATACAGGAGAATTAATCTCTCAAGACAGAGTGCTGTGAGTGCTTTCAGGATCAGACAATGTTAAATGGTCTCACCTTGATTCTGAGTTCCAGGCCCTTCAAGACACACTTCTTAAATGGCTGGAAAGACAAGAAGGCATGTGCACTTTGTCCCACATCCACACTGCCATCAATGGGGGAAAATTCCAAGTACTGCAGCAGGGCTTTGGGGCCAGATAACTCTGCCTGGAAGCTGAAGTTGAACTTTCCAGTGTTGATAAAGCTGAGTTCACACTGAACACATTCGTTCAGCTCTACCTGAGAGACAGAGAACAGAGTAGTATGTTGATGGAATGCAAATCATGGTTCCCTTCTCTGGGGTTAGGATATGTAAGATTTGGGGGAAAACTATCCTTTGGGAAATAGGAATGACAGATGATGTTAGTGAGTTGAGTATCATGGGATTAATGTAGTCAGATATTCCAGCAAGTGCTACTAAGTGTTGGGGATCCTCATACCTGAAGAGTAAGATAGCAATTTAATTTTTAGACCTCCCTTGGTAGACAAACATCCTTCCTGTATGTTTAATACAAGGATTCTTCCCTTCCCTATCATCTCTCCACCCCCTGAAATATAAAATAAGTTTTCACATCAAAACTATATGCATTCTGAGGATGGAGATGCTTCTGGCATGTTTCTGTTCTCCTGGTCTCCCTGGCATTTGAAACAGAGAGATTCAGCTAACATTCACTTGTACTGCCTTTCCCAGCCAGTGTGGAAACAGAGAGACAGAGAGAGAGAGAGAGAGAGAGAGAGAGAATGAATCAAGGCTCTCTCACATTCTTACCTCATAGAAGTTGATAATGTTAGTCTCTTTAGGAGTCAGGAGAGTGATCAAGCCAGTCCTGTCCTTGCATTTAACCTCTGCGTTCATAGTGTATCCCTCAGCCTTGACATTTAAAGTCAGAGGGTGGGCTTTCTTTTTCACGTTGCAGATCAAATTAAAGTTCACATCTCCTTCCTGCTTTGGTGTGAAGAAAATGTCCACTGGGAACCTGGTTGGGGAAGAAGACAGCAGATTAGCTGACAAGGCCAACCTGCTATAACCTGCTAAAGAATATGAGCCTGATGGATTAGCACGTGCACTATGAGGAAAAAGCATTGCCATTCCAAATTATGATGAGTTTGGAAGATTTGCCAGACACAGTGTGTCATTGCTTTATGAATTCATAGATAGCAAGGAAAAGAATATAAACAGGAGAGAAAATTTTGAGAAGAAGGTCTTAAAGTTCTCAGTGCTCTACAATTTATCAGGAAAATGAACAATGGGAAATAAATAGGACAGGGATGGGATTGTTCATATAAATTTTAGAGTTGGAAGAGACTTGATACAGGGCACTCTGAAGGGAATGGATTCTCCTGGCTAGCAGGTCTAGAACCCCTGCTATTTTGGGAGGGTGTAGTTGTGGGGGACTTTTTCTTTACCTGGACAGTGGTGGGATCCAGCCTTCCATGGGACATATCACCAGGCTGTTGCTGAAACCTTCAGAATATCGGGAGTTGTCCTGGAAGGCAAAATGGAACCCCTGCTCCTCCTTGTTGATGATATGCACAGTCTCCCTGGCTTCTCTGCCTAAGGTGGAAACACCAGCCCTCAGTTGAAGGCCTCATGCCTGCTCCTGAAGCATCTTAGCAGATACTGCTCCTCAGGCAAGAGGAAACCTTCTTAGAAAAAACCCTTCAACTTCTTTTCTCTCTTCTTCAGTCTTTGACTACCTCTCTTCCTTCCTTCTGCTCTACAAGTGACCTTCTTCTCCTGGCGAGATTCCATCTCTTTCTTCTAGAACTTTATTCCATCAGTTGCCCGCTCCTGCTAGGCGGTGCCTCTGCCTTGGTCACAGCTGTCTTAGGTGATTCTGATGACATTATTTTCTCTCCTTGTTTCTTCGGAACTAATGCCTTCCTGCTTTTGTTAATGAGGGCTTCACCCTCCATGGTAGGCCCCTTAACTCTGCCCATATCTTTGTCAATAGTCTCTGCATTAAATTCTTTTGCATCAGAGCTCAGGTATGTCCTGAGAGTCCTGACAGGGCCTGAATACATCTTCTGTCACTATTTTTGCTTTTTCTTACTTTCCTTGACTACTGTAGAGCATTTGTTTTTTTACATATACTTTAGAATCATTTTATTCAGTTCTCCCCTCACCTCCAGTCCTTTTGGGATTAAGGTTGCCAGATTTAGGAAATATATTTTTAGTAGAAGTATGTCCCAAATATTGCATGAGACATACTTATGTTGACATACTTACACTAAAAAATTACTCATTGTTATCTGAAATTCAAATTAGACTATGCATCCTGTATTTTATCTGGCAACACCAGTTGGGATTCTAATTGGAACTTGATTAAACTTGCATTTAATCTTGAGAGAACTGTAAATGATCACATCTTGCTTGGGGGCTCGTTAATAAGATTTTATAGTTTGCTTCATATACGTCCTGTGCTTTTCTGGTTACATTTATCCTTAGATATTATATAGGTTTTATCAGTATTGAATGGATTTTTTGTTTCTGTTTCTAGGTGCTTATTGCTAAAAGAAAGAGAAACTATTGATTTTTACATAACTGTCTTATATTCAACCACTAAATTATCTTGTTGATTCTAGTGGTTTGTTTTGCTTTTCTCTAGAGCCTCTTGAGGTTTTCTATGTATGAAGTCACCAGCAACAGCAAATAAGATAGTTTTGTCTCTTTCCCAATGTTTATGCCAATTATTGGATTTTCTTGTTTTATTGTATTTGCTAACTAAAATCACTAGGAAAGTATTCAATAATAATGATGATAATGAGCATCCTTGCCTAATTACTGATTTTTAGCTGAAGTGGTTTCAGTGGTTTATTACAGGATAATATTTGCCTCTTGATTTTGGTTAGTCTTTTTTTTTTTTTTTTAAGGAAGAGGGAGAGAGGGAGAGAGTGACTGTATGTGTGAGGGGCGTGGGAGGGAGGGGCAGAGGGAGAGAGAGAATCCCAAGCAGGCTCCACACTCAGCACAAAGCCCGATTTGGGGCTCCATCTCATGACCCTGAGATCAAGACCTAAGCTGAAATCAAGAGTTGGATGCTTAACTGACTGACCCACCCAGGAGCCCCTGGTTAGTCTTCTCTATTTAAGTTTCCCCCTCTATTCCTATCTTACTATTAGAATTTTTGGTGAGAATTTCTGCCATGGCTTTTTAGTATATATTCATATGATCATATGGTTCTTTAAGCTGTTGATATCTCATCATTATGTTGAAATGTACCACCCTTGCATTCCCAGATTAAATTCTGTTTGTCTTGCTGTTGCTATTTTTATTTATTTTATTTAATTTTAATTCCAGTCAGTTAACATAGGGTGTTATATTAGTTTCAGGTGTGCAATATAGTGATTCAACACTTTCGTACATTAGCTGGTGCTTATCATGACAAGTGCATTCCTTAGTCCCCATGACCTGTTTCATCACCATCCCTCTACCCCTCCCCCTGGTAACCATCTGTTTGTTCTCTATAGTTAAGAGTGCTGTTATTATTCTTATGCTATATTGCCCATTTATTTGTTCAAAACTGTCTGAAACATCATAATCTCCTCCCACCTACTTATATGTATCAGTACAAGAAATGTATGGAAATATTACTAATAAACTGTTCACATGGGTTTCCCTTGATGGAAAGGATGGGTGGAGAGAGATTAAAATTTTCCTTATATAACAGATTGATTGTCTTATTATAAAGAATATCACTTTTCTAAATATAAGAATCTAATAAGTTACTAAAACATCTTCTGGCTTTAGTTGTATTTTACACACACACACACACACACACCCCACATCCATGTCATGTGATAAGGGACCTGGTGATCACTTCCCCTTTATTTCCTTCAGGTCTCTGATCAAATGTCACTTTCCCATTGCCTCCTGGCATCCTTTATTCTCCCTACCCTGCTTTATTCTTCTCTAGAATGCTTATTAACATCTGACATGCTATATATTTTTCTTTTTTCTTTTTTGGTAGTCTGCTTTCTTTTTTCTTTTTAAGATTTTATTTATTTGTCAGAGAGAATGAGAGAGAGAGAGAAAGCGAGAATGAGAGCGAGTGCAGAAGCAGGGGGAGTGGCAGGCAGAGGGAGAAGCAGGCTCCTTACCGAGCAAGGAGCCTGATGTGGACTCAATCCCAGGACCCAGGGATCATGACCTGAGCTGAAGGCAGACACTTAACCCAGGCATCCCTTGGTGGTGTGCTTTCTATTACTAGACTGTAACCACCGTGAGGATGGGGACTTTGGCTTTACCCACGGCATTCTCAGCTCACAGAAGAGTGCCTGGGTCATACAAGGGGCTCAGAGATATTTGTTGAGCTGAATAAATGCATGAAAGGATGGCAGAGAAATCTGATCACCGTGGCACAGACTGAGAGGCAAACAAATACAGCCCATCCTCCAGAGGCACATGCAAGTAAGATGGGGATAACGTGAGGCTCTGGAAATGGACGCAGCCAGTCCGGGTCTTCAAGGAATCTAACAAGTAGGATCTGTAGCAAGGCTCCTAAATTCTCTTATTAGTGTGTGGGTTTAGAAGATAGCTGATGGAAATTAGATTGAGAGAGAAATATTTCATGGCTTTGTGAACAGTGATAGAGTACCTCTGGCACCGGGAAAAGTTTTCCACCCAAGTCTGCTCCCGGAGCTCATTGCTGAGTCAGCCCTACTCCCCCCGCTCACAGGTCACACCAACTCAAACATAAACCAACAGGGCAGCCTTACCAATGAGGAGACAACTGAAGTTGAGGTGTGACTTGTCCAGATTGATGAGAGGATCGGTGGCTTTGCCTACCAGTAGGAAAGGGACGGTGATGTTGTGTTCGGGGATTAAGAAAGTCCAGAATGCTTCTGTGATGTCCAGATGGAAAGGTGTGAACTGGAAGATAATCTAAGAAGACGGTTTGGAACAGAAGGGTAAAAAGCGTTTCTTTTTGTTTGCTCCACATGCCCTTGGAGGCTTACGGGTGCTGGGGTTATGATGGCTGACGTTACCAGGTTACCCCTACCTTTCTACTGTCTCCGTGAAGGCATGATAAGTGTGGCTGTTCCAGCAATATCAATGTCTGTTTGCCCTGCCCACAGGCCCCCCTGAGGGGTCTACCCCACCCATAGCCTCTGATGGCTGGGCTGCCATATTTCACACCATGTCTTTGTTTGGTATGTAAAAATAGAATCTGAGAGAAATATGGAATTTTGGCTTTTCCTAAAAAGTTTGGGAAAACTGGCAACCCTGGGTCTACTTGTCTGTGTGTGTTCATCTGACAGAGAAGCATGGCAGCCAGCCAGTGCTGGGCTCAGCATTCCCTGTCATTGTTCCCTTGGCTTGCTCCATTCATTTGTGGGACCTTCCTGAAGGCATTTGAATTCATAATTTCTATTTCATGGATTTATTTCTGCCTCTGAGATTCTCTGTGGAACTTAAGGATATGGGGCCCATAGATCTGTTTTCGCCAATGAATTCATGCTTCATTAAGTCTGACCCCATACCCATTACCACTGTGTAAACTTGAGGACTGAGCTGTGGGACAGGACTCACTTTTCTGTTTTGCCCTTTGGCCCAACCAAGTAAAAACACATCTGTATCGTTTTACCACTGTCAGTCTTCCTGTTACTCTATGGGTCTTAGTGCCCATTAGTGCCCAGCTCCCCTTGCCCACTTTAATAGTTTCAGTTTTTAAAACTGCAAATGCTAGAGCTCTCCATCTCTCTATGGCCAACCAAGAGAGCTCAGGTCTGTCCTGTTCATGAGGACTGCCTAATGTCTATGCCATTCAAGAAATACTTATTGATTGATGCATACTTGGGCTGTCCTCCCTCACTCTACCTATGGTCTACAGCACACGTGCTAAGCAGAGGGAGAGAGAGAGAATGATTAAAGTCCTTGGTCTGGTGGTCTTCATTCACACACATACCTCAGCTTTCTTTTCTGGGTGGACAAAGCCCTTCTCTGTAAGGCATGTGAAGGCTGGAGGGTTCTGGAGACTTTCAGTTTCTTCGGAGATCCAGCAGAAGGTGTAAGTGCTATTAGTGGGGTTCAGGATTGTAAAAGTCCTGGTCGAGGGGGAAGAATTGATAGCAGAGAGTGAAATGGGGGGTTGAGGAATAAGAGACACTTTCTTACGACCTTCCCTAGCACAGTCCCCTTATCTGGGAAGTAGAACTTGTCTGGGCACTTCATTACCATAGAAATGAAAACTGCATCTCAACTGGGGCTCCAGACTATGGCTAGAGTTTTGGACTTTGGAGTAATAATGATGCCCAGGGTGCTTCTGTCCCAGTGATCCTCTGTGGTTAAGGTGGTGGTCAGAGATTCTATGTTTATGTCTTCCAAATTTTCCCCAGTGTTGATGCTAAGGAGACAAAATCCAGCTTTCTTACTGGAGCAGTTCTCCGAAGTCCAACCCCAGTAGTTCAAGCCTGCTTCTAGGAATTAGCCCCACTGACTTCCCTGAATTCTTCCTCTACATTCTGTAGAAGGAATGACTGATAGGAACTCAACTGATGCAAACCTAGGCAACTCACCGAAGGCTCTTCCCTCCTATGCCCACACTGGTGAACTCAATCACCCGGGTGTTTGAGTCCAGAGCCCCACCACTAGGCCCTCGGAGATCTGGGTTGCGCCGATGACCGCTGATGTAGTCGGAGTGTTTCAGGTCAAAATGGCAGAAGGGCAAGAAGCTCCGCCCTTTTGTCGATAGGACTGGACCTTGCTCTCCAGGCGGCAAGTTGGGAATCCTGAGAGGATAAGGTTACTTATTCTTACTTATTTTTAAATCAATCGTTGCTTTCTGAGTTGGGTGGAAATGAATTATTATATCCAACAGAATGTGAGCTCCATGAAAGCAGACATTGGGTCTGTCCTGGTCAACAACATAATCTCAGTCCCTGAACAGTGCATGATACATGGTAGGTGTTCATTCATTAACTGTTGAGTGGATGAATGCATGAATGGGCTGAGGAGGAGGAGGCTGAATTCTGGCTCCTTTTCTGTATCTAAGTGTGGCCCCAAGTTATCCCTCCAGTAGTGGTGACAAAATCTCCCTGCTGTAAATTGAGCAGAGAGTCTTACCCTCTGGGTCCTCTCATAGGCATCTCCTGGGGTACGAACATTGACAGAGAAATCCTAGAAGAGTCGTCTCATCTCCTCAGAAAAGGTGAACTGGATGTGAGCAGACTTAGCCCCAGCACCAAGTTTAGGTGGCCCAGACATAGGAGGGGTCCCTGTGGTGGATTGCAGGGGCTCCACAAGGCTCTTAAGGCTCACATAGTTCTCGCTACCCCATGCCAGGGTTCATACAGTTCCTCTGTAAGGTGGGTGTTCTGCATGGAGCTTTCCTGGGAAAGCACATCCGAGGTTTCCATTGCTAGAAGTTACTGGATTGGCTTTTCTCGAATTGGGTGTGGGCACCCTCTATTCCTCACTGATGAATCAGGTCCACTGCCTCCACTATCACCATGTGGGTGTATTGTGCTTTTTGTGTGCCAGGTTCTGTGCTAAGTCTTCACGTGAATTGACTCATTTAATGTTCATGGCGACTGTACAAGGTGGGTATTCTTGTTTGCTTTCTACATGAGGAAACCAAGTGTCAGAAAAGGTACAAGAAAGTTTTTTTTAAGTTCATACATGCCCAAGGACTGGAACCCATCTATCTGTCAGCCATTTTGTTGCTCAGTGGAATTCTGAATGTGGCTGGGAAAGGGGAAGGGGGCAGGAGGAAGAGTCTAGAGAGTGTTGGTGAGTAATACAAAAGACCCAATTCTCCCTATCTTCCAAATCCTGGCCCCTTTGAATCTTCCCAAAAGGAAATGTGGCAGTTTGGGGGCTGTGGAGGGGGCCAAAGGCTGGACAGAATGGTGGTAGTGGTGGGACAGAAGAGAGGATAGGAGATGCAGAGCTTTGTTCTGGGGACCACGTCTCCTTACTGGCAGAAAAGATTGCCCTCGAAGTCTCCAACCTCCAGCGGGGAGAATTTCACTTTGAGCTTCTGAGTCTTCCCGGCAGGCACAGTGCCTGAGGAGGGCTCCACAGAGAAGGGTGGCAGGGAAACGTCGTTCCAGTGGTCGATGGCACTGTCCAGGGTGCTGACTGTGTGCAGTGTGCCCTGGCTAAGTTGGTCTTTTTGAGACGAACCTGGGGGCCAACAGAGACAGCCAGTGATATTCAGCATTTGCAGTGGGAGGGCAGGTGGAAGGCAGCCCACTCACAGGTCCTGAGGGACCCTCTGTGGGGTCTGTGGGCTCACCTCTTCTAGCAGGTATACTTAATTGTGGGCACTAGGGGTAAGGAATTGGCTCATATCTCTTGTAGGAGACTCATGAAAATACTTCTATGAATTCTATCAAGTTTCTAAAGTTTTTCCTTTTGGCTCAAGGGGGTGGGTCAAGGAGATGTCTCTGGGTCTTCTGCCTTAAGAATAATGGGCTGTGAACATAATTTTTGGAGAATCATTGTTTTAAACTAGGGGTTCACAATCTGGGGGCCCATGGATAAGGGCCCATTCAAAAGGTCTGTGAGTCTCCAAAACTGCAACAACAGTAATGAGTATTTGTCCACCAAGTGTTGAGCCCTTTCCCAAGTGCTTTATGTGTATCAAATTGGGTATGGGTATGTATTTCCTTGGGGAGACAGTTCATAGCTTCTGCAAGGGTCTGTAATGTCCCAAGAGGCTAAGGCCTGAAAAACAAGATTCCTAGGGCTCTGTGGCCAGGGTGCTGGCCTAGTGGATGGCCAGGGTCCAGGCTCCAGGAGGACAGAGGTCAGCTCTTGAGTTTCTCAGGCCTGTTTGGCTCTGCAGACACCATGAGACATTTGCTCTGCTTCTCCTTGGCTACTGAGAGGGCCATTGGAGCAGTGCTCACTGCTCCATGAACAAGGCTCTCCTACTAATTGGTTTACCTTGGTTATCTGGCATTGCAAAACTGACAGCCTTTGCAGTCTCTTCTGAGACCCAGTTGAATTCCAGCTGCACATTTCCTGAATTAATCAGTTCAAACCTGCAGATAGATCAGAGAATGGATTTGAGAAATGTGCTGTCAATGATGTTTTCCCTGTCTGCACATTATCTATACTGTTACTCAACTTTTTAAGTCATCACTGTGTTTCTTAAACATTTTTTCAAAAGGCAAGTTTTAAACATCTTATCTGACATCATGCATTTGCTATGTTAGTTATATTTTCTTCTAAAACACATAGAATATATACATAGCTATTAAAAGTAAAAATATCCAAAGGTTTAGCACTGAAAATCATCTGGCACACCAAAGGTACCCTATGCAATGAGCTCTCAGCCTGCATTGCTGTAACCCTGAAACATTTCCATGAGAGAGGAATCAAAATGTGTTTCCCATGACAATACCTTCTTTAGGTACAAATTCCATAGTCCTTCCCTTCCTGAATCATCTCCCACCGGAAACAATGTCCCTGTGGTCAGAGGCTGTTTGACCCCTGCCTGCGATTCCTTCACTGGCTAAGACTTGTCTCAAATTCTGAATTAGTGGAGCCTTTTCTTGCCTCAAGTTTCCCTGCATCTAAGACAAGAACAGGAGATAGAAGCTTTTTCTGGAATCACTTTTAAACTTGATCACATCACAGCAGAAGGATGAGGCCTTGACACAAGAAACTGATTGTGTTAGAGAAAGAAACACAAGTGGCTATTCCTAGTTTTACGGAAGTGGTAAGAGTTGAAAGTTTGGGAGTGGGGTGTGGTAGGGTGTAAGGATTAGGTTTCCATTATCCAATCCAGGTAGACCATGCAGGTACACCCAAAGTCAAGTACTTTGACTTCAGGAGCTTGTGTTTATTGTGTACAAGTATGAGCACTGGTCATTATCTTAAAGAAAATTTTTATAAAGTAGAGAAATCTTGGTGGTACAGAATACTTTTGATAAAAAAAGTTCTTGGTTTAGATTGGGATTGGCAAACTTTTTTTACAAAGGGCAAGACAGCACGTTTTTTTGGCTTTGTGTACCATAGGTCTTTGTAGCAACTACTCACTTCGCTGTTGCAGCCACAGACAACACATAAACAGATGGGCATGGCTGTGGCCAAAAGAAACCTTATTTACAACAATAGGCAGCTGGCTGGATTTGGTCCATGGGCCACAGTTTGCCAACCCCTGCTTTAGGTAAAACAGGTATCAGCAGAAGGTCCCCCTTCCTGTCTTATCTCATTTGGTTCTATAATAATTTGAGAGAACATGTAAAGTGTAACAAATGCAAGATGAGTTGAACAAGTTAATTACTAATTCTTACAAAGTTGAAATGTCAGTGGTTTACATTTTTGTGCTTGTAATTCTCAAAGAATAGTCTTTCTCTGTCTTTGTATATGATGCTCTCTCTGCCTAGAAGGCCCTTTTTTCTCACTCACTTCTTCACCTGTCTACCTCCTGTTCATCCTCCACAATTCAACAGGGGCACTGCTTCGTCTGGGACGTCTTCCCTTATGTGCTGTCTGCTTTCTCATTCTCCCCACATCTTAGTCTGCTTTAGGTATTTTCACAGCACACACAGGACACGACCCTTGCAACCATCAATTCACCTATTTTCACCCATCCCCCCACCGCCCACCATGAGCTCCTTAAGAGGGGGACCCATGAAATCCTGCATTCCCATGTGTGAGTTCACATAACTCTTTCTTTCTAAGGACAATTTTAACTTTGAATGAACTTTTTAGCTCTGTTTCCCTGGAAACCTGATGAAGGAGAAATACCAGTTGTATCATTAGGCAACATTGTTTATAGCAAAAAATGACCCCTGATTGGTAAATTGCATCTGGTCTGGGGGGAATTATAATTCCCTGGAGGGAAGCCATAGCTTTGGGGTTCTCTGAGTGTAGTGACTCTTGGTAACTGGGCATGTCCCCTACAGGGATCCTAGAAGCTGTACCTATGGAATGGTTATGAGGAGTGTTACCTTCTGTAGGTTGTGGGCCTTCGAAGCTGAGACAGACCCATTGCCATCAGTGTGGATATTGTCCAACTGTGACCTGGGGTCGGGGAGAAAAGAACTGTTCCTGGGTGGTGGTATGAACTGTTACTGCAAGGACGGTCCCCACTGAAGCTGATGGCCAGATGCTGTCCCCTCCTCCCCGGTGGACTGTGTTTCCTGGCCTATATCTTGATTTCAAGTGTGAACTTCCATAGCTTTGTGGGCCTGAAGGATTCACTGCAGCCACAGAGTTACTCTGATGTGTGCCACGTGGCTCTGATGCCTGGTATGTGCTGTCGTAGACACTGAATAAATGTGTGGTGGAGTGGGGGCAAATGATAAAATCAAAGAGCTTCTCTGTGAGGGTGGGGGGCTCTCGAAGACTCACTCAAACACTCGGGTCTGGTAAACCAGCGTTTCTTTAAAGTGCACGTTGCTTGTTTGGCATCCATACGAAGCGTAATTCACATTGGCACTGATCTGAAGAGGAAGTTCTCGATAGTTCTCTTCTACTACAGAATGGGTGGGCTCAGGGTCTGTCTCTATCACCTGTAACAAAGGTGGAGCCAGTTGACTCACAGGAATAAAGGGCTGTGGGGGAGCACAGTACTATATTTTACCCATGCAAATTAACTCAAGTTCCAGAAATAAATGATTCACGCAAACCTAAATGACTCTTAAATGGGGAAGGAAACAAATTACTGAGAGTAGTAAGATTGCAGAGACATGAGTTTTTTGGTTAGATGGACTCAGAAGAAGGCAGAGAAAGGAAATCATAAAGATAGGGACAGATATTAATGAAATCGAAAATAAATAAAAAAACAGGACCAACAAAGCCAAAAATTGTTTATTTGGAATGACTTAAAAAGTCTTTGGTAAGATTGATCAAGAAAAAAATGAATAAATACAAATAACCAATATCAAAAATGAAAAGGAGGACATCACCACCAACCCTACAGATTTAAACACATGATAAGAAAATATTATAAATAATTTTATGAAAATACATATGAAAACCTAGTGGAAGGGCAAATTCCTAGAAAAATAATTTAATAAAATTGACTCAAGAACAAATCAAAAGCCTGAAGAGTCCTAACACTATTAAAGAATCTGAACACTGGGAAAAAAATCTTAAAGAAGACCTAAATAAAGAGATAAAATTTGTTAAGAGAAAGGACAAATTAATGTTATAAAATTGTTAATTTTTCCTAAACTGACTTATGGATGCAATCCAATTCCGATCAAGTTTCCATTAGGGTTTCCACAGTACTTGGTTAGTGGATTCCAAAATTAGATAGAAAAATAAAGGACCAAGAATAACTAAAACACTTCAGAACAAAACAGTATGGAAAAGGGACTTCCCTTCCAGATATCAAGGCTGATTGTGAAGCTACAGAAATTGAGGCAGGGTAAAACTGGCATAGGGGTAGACAAATTGACAACGAAGTAGAATACTGAGACAAGAAACATCCTAGGTATATATGAAGTTTAGATGACAAGGGAGTCATGGCAGATCACTAGGAAACATAGGGGCTAAACAAAAAAAGGGATTTGGCCAGGTTAGTTATCTAGATGGAAAACTATGAAATTGGATCCTTGCCTCACACCATACATAAAATCCAAGCGGGCCAAGGGCTTAAATATAAACAGCAAAGTTCTTAAACCTAAAAAAAATAAAATAAAAAATGCACATTTTCTCTTCCCTGGTAGGGAAGGGTTTAAAAATAAGACACAAAAAATAATAAATATAGAAGATGAGATTAATAAACATGACTATATTAAGACTTTTTTTTGTTCATCAAAAGATACATCAAAGAAAGTGAAAAGATAAGCTTTAAATTTGATGAAGACGTTTGCAGACAAATAATAGGAAGGAATAGCAGAGTTTATAAAAAATAAAATAACTCATACAAAGGACAAGCATCAGAACCGAAAAATAGGCAAAAGGCATTTATATAAGAGATAAGTAGCATGGACAATAATCATATGAAGACATATTCAATTTTATCAGTCATTAGGGAAATGCAAAGTAGCCCCCAAATGAGATCATTTCCCATTCACTTAAATGATAAAAATCAAGAGGTCTGGCAATGCCAAGCTGTGGAGAGAATGTGGATCAGTAAGATGTCTTTGCCAGGAGTGTACATTGGTACAGCCATTTGGAAAACATTTGGGCATTACCTTGGAAAGCTGAAATTCACATATCCTATGACTTGGCAATTCCACTTCTAGGAATATTAACTTTTGCAAATGAACACCATTTGACATGAACAATAATGTTCACAGAAACACTGTGCATGATAGCAAAATTGTAAACAATTTTCAAAAGAAGAATGAATGATAAATAATAATAATGGAATTTTATATAGCAGTGAAAGTGGATATACTATAGCCACATGCAACAATATGGATCACAAGAAATCTAACCTTTTCAAAAACTAAAGTTAAAAACTACAACTAAACAGTGTGCCTTTTTGGATGCATAGGTTGAAAAAAAAAGAAAAAAACAAAAATCAAGGGAATAAGTAAATGAGATTCAGAATGGTGATTGTGTTTAAGACAGGAGGCAGGGGGATGGAATGGCTGAGAAGCACACAGGTAATCCATGTTCTACTTCCTCTGTTGGGTGTGAGTTCATCTCTGTTTGTTCTACCATTCAAAAGAAACCAGTCAAGGACTAATTAAGAGAGGGGCATGCTTGGATCACAGATGAGATTCTGTCAGGACCCAGAGATTCTAACTAATCTAATTCTGGACACCCGAGGGAAAGAGGAACTGACCAAAAGGCTAGGCATGGTCCTGTTGAAAAAGTGGGAGGACTTGCTGCATGAGGCATCCAGACTGAAACTAAAGCTGGACGTATCAAGATGTGTGGGCTGTGGGGCTGGCAGGAGGCATGCTTGTAAGCTCAGTTTGTCACTTCTGAAATCAAGGTCAAGTAGAATGGGAAACTTTTTTTTTTTTGTGAAGGAAGGCAATGATGAGACATTGAAGTGGAAAGCAGCAGGCCCCCAGCCATGGCAGATCTGTGCCTGATGTCCTCACTCACCTTTCGTTTTGTAGTCAAAGTCCCACGTGGGTTTCTGAGCACATCCACCCACTTGACCGTGCGCATGCGGTCATCCCAGTCAGGGATCTGGTCTGCAGGGAGCTGAAACATGATCCTGGACAGCTTGCACTTGGCCCCCATCTTCTTCAGATTGATGGGCACGTCTGACTTCATGGTCACCACTATGTCCTTGGCACACCCAGGGTGGAGGTGGCCAATCTGGGGAAGAGCCTGGTGTTAGTATTTTTGGGAATCCAAGCTTGAGGACTTTTGCTACCTGATGGTGATATTCTAGAGAAGGGGTAGAGCCAAAAGTCTTGGCAAAAAATACATTTAAACCTGCCTATGTAGATGGTCTTAAATACATACAAGAGGTTCTTAGAGAGAAATACAAGCCTAAAAACAAAAGCAGCTAATATTTATCAAACTGTTACTTGCCTAGGGCACTGTTCTAAACCTTTACACAATTCTGCTAATCCCCACAACAACCCTATGAGATATACAGCCATTTCCCCTATTTCATAGGCATGGTAACTTGTAACTTGTTCATGGTCCTCCCATGAATATTAGAAGAGCTGGATTCAGCCCCCGACAGTATGGAGCCAGGTACCATGCTCTTAACCACCTGTGCTTCTTCATCAATATGACCTTTATGAATCAGGGACAGATGCACACAGTACGTTAGCAGTTCTCAGAGTGTGATCAGATGACCCTTGGGACCCCTAAGACCTTTTTCAGGAGTTCACAAGGTCAAAACTACTTTCATCATAATATTAAGCTGTTAGTTGACTTTTTCACTCTCATTTTCTCAAGAGTATACAATGGAACTTTCTAGAGGTTACATGACATACGATATTGTAGCAGATCAAATGGAAAAGCAAATAGGAAAATCTAGCTACTTCTATTAAGCCAGATATTAAAGAGATTTGTAAAACTGTGAAATAATGCCACTCTTCTTTCACTAATTTTTTTATTTTGGAAAACATAGCCATTTTCATAAAAATATGGTATTTATATTAACATTAATGGGTTTATTATTTAAAAATGGATAACTATGGACTCTGAGAAACAAACTGAGAGTTCTAGAGGGGAGGGGCGTGGGGGGATGGGTTAGCCTGGTGATGGGTATTAGAGAGGGCACGTATTGAATGGAGCACTTGGTGTTATATGCAAACAATGAATCATGGAACACTACATCAAAAACTAATGATGTAATGTATGGTGATTAACATAATAAAATAAAATAAAATAAATGGATAAATACATGTTTTCAGATATTCTCAGTTTTAATTGCTAATATGGTAAATATCAATAGACATAACCCACATAAACAAAAGCTTTTTGGGGGTTCCTGAATAATGTTTAATTGGGTAAAGGAGTCCTGAGTCCAGAAAGGCTGAGATTCTACTGAAATATACCAGATAAATGGGAAATCTAATTTGGTCTATAGCATAAAATCATTGATGGTTTAGCATATATAAACACACACACACACACACACACACACACACACACACACACACACACATAATAGTCCTATCATGGTTCTGACAGATCTAAAAACTCTCCCTCCACTGGAAAGTGAAGGGAGAAGAAAGCTTAGTATTTCCCAAGGCCACAAATGTTTGTGTGTGGCGGGGTGGGGGGTGATATGCACGAGTGCATGTGCACGTGGGCGCACTAAATGGACTATCTAAAGCTTATCTCTGCCTGATTTGACTGACACTTTACATCCCTCCAGGAAGCAAAACTTCCTGAGAGCACTCAAATATTCAAAAGCGACAAAGGGAGTGCCTGGGTGGCTCAGTCAGTTGAGTGTCCAACTCTTAGCTCAGCTCAGGTCTTGATCTCAGGGTTGTGAGTTCAAGCCCTGTGTTGGGCTCCACACTGGGCATGGAGCCTACTTAAAAAAACAAAAAAAATAAAGGTGATAAAGTAGGGTCCCCTATTCTCCTTGCTCTCTTCCCCTAACTATGCTTGACAGACTTGGTGACCAAAACAGTGCAGGAGGCAGTGGATACATCTGGGTATATCCATTGTCCTGGGAACTCAAAAGTGAACTATGAAAAACAACAACTAGCCAGAGACTAGATCTGCTACCACATTGTCTTAGGCCTTGGGTGACATCGAGCTTTGGTCAGCAATTCATAAAATGTGCGCTGTGAGATGCTAAAAGAAGGGGTCAGAAAATTCCAGGTAAAACAAAGTTAACTAGGTTTTAGTATGCTGCATGGCACTGGGCACCTCTAAGAGAAAGATGTAATATGCAAATTTGCTAAATCTCAGTCGTCCACAGAACCCACTACCCCCATTTTAGCTTTTAGTGAACCACTTTTGCAGGACTAATGCTCTAAAGAACATACACCTTGGGGGACACAGGTCTGCAGTCTGGGATGCGAAGACTGGGACCTGTCTTCATCCGTGCAGGCTTCCATGGAATTCCTCAACATCAGCCTAGCAACCATCTCGGCAGACCTCATTCTCTGTTCTTAGACCAGAGGAAATATGAACAGTGTCCTCTGGCACCTGGTCTGAGTAAGGGATGGTTCTTGGGTTGTCTCAGCTTGAGAGCCATCCATCCCATCCCAATTATTCATGGGAGCAGACAGACAGTCAAATTAGGGTAGGCTTATGTCTAAGGAAGTCCAGAAAAGAGTGAACGGTTTTCACTTACCTGTGGGGAAAAGGAAACTGTAGATACAGGGGGCCATTCAAACCGTATCACGTTCACTTGGCTGTGGTTTGTGATTGTGAAACTCACGTTATAGCTGTTTCCAATGTGGCAGTCCCCAAACTGGATGTGGTCCACCAGTGCAGCTATGGACAGAAGCGGAAGGTCCGTGAGTCCTCCCTGGCCTCCTCCTAGGGCTCACTTCCCTGAGGAGGCAGCGCCTGAAAGACATGGGGCCTCGCCCTCATGCCTCCTTTCCTCCTTTGATGATTATTTTGGAAAAATTTGGAGTCCTTAGCTTAAGCTTTCCCTCCTTAGGAAATCTATTTGTCCATCTGTCCATCCGTCCAACCATCTATCCATTCACCTTGGCCCTCATGTCCAAGAGAAAATATAGGTCCCCAACTCCATTTGTTTGCTGAAAAAATACTATTAAGGGTTAAAATAAGATAAAATACAAAAGTCCTTGTTAAACTCGAATCATAGATAATTGATGAGTAATTTTTAGTATCAGTATGTCCCATACAATATTTTGGGACACACAAATAATAAAAAGACTCCTTTTTTTTAAATCTGAAATTCAAATTTAACAGGGACTCCTGTATCCTGATTTTCTAAATCTGGTAACCCTATTATAAGTATGTAATCTGATTTCTTTTTTTTTTAAAGATTTTATTTATTTATTTGACAGAGAGAGACACAGTGAGAGAGGGAACACAAGTAGGGGGAGTGGGTGAGGGAGAAGCAGACTACCCGCGGAGCAGGGAGCCTGATGTGGGGCTCGATCTCAGGACCCTGGGATCATGACCTGAGCCGAAGGCAGACGCTTAATGACTGAGCCACCCAGGTGCCCCTGAAATCTGATTTCTGAACTAGGATTCACTGCTGGCTTCTGCTTGACCCCTAACAAGAGAGATGTCACCTGGGAGCCACAAACAGGGATAAAACACCATATATAGGAGGAGTGCTGATTTTAAGCCGTGTCATATAGACTGTCCAATGCTACATTCTAGCATTATAATAAGGCTCCTAGAAAAATGATAATGTGTTTATAACTCACTTCATACCAATTAGCGTGCTTGACAAGTGTTGTTGTTTTTTTTTTTAAGATTTATTTATTTATTTGACAGAGAGAGAGACAGCAAGAGAGGGAACACAAGCAGGGGCAGTGGGAGAGGGAGAAGCAGGCTTCCCGCTGAGCAGGGATCCCGATACGGGGCTCGATCCCAGAACCCCAGGATCATGACCTGAGCCGAAGGCAGACGCTTAACGACTGAGCCACCCAGGCGCCTAACAAGTGCTTTTTGATAATAATGATGAAATAAATTTTCTCCTACCCCAAAGAATATATTCAACCAAATGAAGCTGCTGTGCTTGGGGGACTGCAGAGGAGCACATCTTAAGCTTTAATATACATACAAGTCACCGAGGGATCTTGCTAAAATTCAGACTCGGCTTCAGCAGGCCTGAGGTGCTGGGGTGGGCTCTGCCATTCCCATTTTGAACAAGCTCCTGGGTGCTGCTGAGGCTGTAGGTCCTCAGACACTGCACTGAGTAGGGAGGCTATAGAGGATGAGGTTCTAGAGGTGGCACAAACCTATGCCTTCTTTAATTAAAGAAGCCCACGGGTTTCTCTTGGAATGTCTAGGATACATGTTTCCAATGAAACAGACAATGCCGATACAAGCCAGCTGAAAGACATGGGGAAAACTAGAGAGATACGTGCTCACTTAGCTAATCTGGAATTTGAATTTTGAATTTCACTTGTTAGTTAAACTGGAATTAGCTAAAACTATAAGCTCCCCAAGGCAGAGACTCTCTTCTTACTCTTTGCAACTCCAGGTTTCAGCATAGTGCTTGGTCCATGCATGCTGATGCTCAATAAATGTTCCTTGAGGGAACTCGTGATTGAAGGCATTGTCTGAGCCACGAATGAACTCAACACAGGAAGAGGAGATGCTTTCCTAAATTCCCAGAAGCTGGCTGAGCTGTTATTTAAATTTTATTCTTATTTAAAATGACCCGAGCCAATAGTTGTCAATACCTCACTTATGTTTCTCTCACCTGCTACCAAGTCTTCCATAGTATTTTCCTCAATGATCTCAGAGATCTCTGGGGCCTCAGGGCTGCTGGAAACCACCAGCCCATGGATGTTGCCCAAGGTGATGTCATCCTCGTAACCCTCTCCCACCATGTGGATGATTGTCTCCTCATACTGGTTGTTGATCACTGACAAGTGGATGGTGCCTGCCATTCTCCCAACCTTCTTGGATTGGAAAACGACATCGAATCCAGCTGTGTTTCCAGGAGGAACAACCAGGGAGGCCGTGTGAGCTTTCTTTGCTGCAAAGAGAAGAGAGAGACATGAGATTTAGAACCAGGAAGATGTAACCAAAAAGATCCTGACTCAAGGGAGAGCAGCCTTAGTGTGGGAATGGGCCTTACCTAGAGAGGCCATTGGTGATGAGACCAGACATCCTAATCTGCCTGGGTCCTTATTAGTTCCCTAATAAAACAGCTCCTGGGACCCATCACCCTCTAGAAGCTATACTACCCCTACCTACCTTTTGCATGTGGTTTGTTCTCCTCTGTGATGTAGATGTAGGAGGTAGCGGGGGTCCCTTTCAGGGAAAAGACGCCTAGTTGGTCCCTCAGATCAACATGCAGCTGGCAGAAGGAAAGCAAGGTCGAGTGTTAAGCTTACAGGCTGCTCATGGGTTTTGAGTCTAGATTGAGTCTAGATTGAGATACGGTGCTGTTTGGGAAGTACCCAAAAAAGTCATTGTGCCCAGCACTCATTTTTTTGAATTGAATAAAATAAATATTAGACCTGGGGAGGAAAGTGAAAGTTTAGTTCAGCCCTATTATCCAAGTAAGGAACTGGAGGTCCAGAGAGTAGAGGTGACTTTCCAGATCACCCAGCTATGCAGTGTCAAAATGGGCTTGCCAAGGCCTCTGCTATTGACAGAGGCAGCTGTAAAATATACTCTAGACTAATAAAATGGAAATGAATACTCGTCATGCTATAAAGGCTTACATAAATATGAGTTCCTAAAAACCAGTATCTCCTAGGTGGTAATGCATCAGTTGCCTGATAACGTCATATTAAGCACCTTGCCAAGTTAAAAAGAAAACCAAAGTGGGATTCTGGCTTGGGTGGAGAAAAGGGATGTTTTCTGGACCACGATAGCTGATGCAAAAACTAAAGCCATATATCTGATTTTAGGTATGAGAAATCAGCAGACAGTTTTAGAAGATAGTCATGCTGGTACCATCATAAATACAATTGAACAATATAAGAAAGGAGGCCAAAAGAAGAAAGAAATAGTGATACTACATAGGAAGCTTCTGAGATAAAAAATAATTATATGTTTAGAAACAATCTTAGTAAGAAACTATATGGAGGAGTTATATGGAAAAAATTGACATAATAAAAAAATCTAGGTAAATGGATGGGAATTCTAAATGTTGCTCCTGAGAGCCTACATACTCTAAAAGTAGAAATTCTTGGGGCGCCTGGGTGGCTCTGTCGTTTAGCGTCTGCCTTTGGCTCAGGTCATGGTCCCAGGATCCTGGGATCGGGCCCCACATCGGGCTCCCTGCTCAGAGGGAAGCCTGCTTCTCCCTCTCCCACTCCCCCTGCTTGTGTTCCTTCTCTGTCTCTCTCTCTGTCAAATAAATAAATAAAATCTAAAAAAAAAAAAAAATTCTTTCCAAATAATTCACAGGATTCCCAATTGGATTTTTTGAGGAACATTATAAAATGATGTCTAAAGTCCATCTGAGAGAATAGATATGTAAAAATCGTTAAGAAAAACTAGAAAAATGGGGAATGGGTAAGCAGGAATTTATAAAACTAGATGCTAGAACATTTTATAAAGCTACAATAATGGAAAAAATACAGGTAACAATGAAAACAAACTAGGTAATGTGGACTCAAAACAAACAAGAAAATAGGACAACAACAAGACCAACACACTTTTTAAAGCATCACAGAACTAAGAAGATAATGAAGAGTAGCCAGACCAAGATCTGGGAGAGCATGGGAATCCAGAGAGCCTAGCCTACATTTCTGGGCTGTTTTTGACTTCGAGTGTTTGCTAGTCTAGAAGAGGTATGTGGGAGGCTCAGTCGTGTTTTTTGAGGGCTTCTTGGTGTTAAGAGGGCAAAAGTCTTGTGAAAGGTGGGTGTTTTCTTTCCTGTAGATTCGGACCCCAAAGGACCTGCTGAGAGGACCAAGCCCAGCCCCCCCAAGGGTAGAGATCCTGCTCCGAGTCGTATCCAGGAAATATCAAGCCCTAAAACTAATTTTAGATGATCCTTAGTTTCCAATGTCCCAAAGTACTTGGCAGAACCAAAGAAAAATTGTCTCTGAAGAAAAAGAACATCATCCTTAGTGTTATTTCTAAATAATTCTTCAAGTATAATACTCAACACAGGATCGAAGATAACCAGGCACACAAGGAGAAAGGACAACATGGCAAAAATGAGCAGAAATAGCAGATATCAGAAAAAGACCCACAGGAAATCCAGATTTTGGAATGACCAGGTATAGATGGCAAAATGGTTGTGATGACTATGTTCAAGAAATAAAGCCAAGTCTGACAACTTTAGCACAAAACCAGAAATCTTCAAAACTGATGATGTGTATTTGAAAAGCAGCCTAAAAGAACTTCTAGAACTGAAAAATGTAATAACTTAAGAACTCGATGGAAGGTTTAACAACAGATTAGGTACAGCTAAAGGGAAAGTTAATGAGCTGAAGATAGGTCCCAAGAAATTATGCAGAATGGAGCCCAGAGAAAAATGGATGGAAAACGCAGTGAGGTGGTGAGACAGAGAGGGAATGGGGGAAGGTCTTCCACACACTGAATTGGCCTCCCAGAAGGAGAGATGAGACAGAATGGAATAGGAACAATATTTCAAGACATGTTTGGAATTTTCCAAAAGTGACTGAAGACATCCATTGCAGAATCAAGAAGCCTGGTGAATTCCAAGAGGGATAAATGCAAAGAAATTCATACCTAGGCACATCATAGCGAAACCGCAGAAGACGAACACAAAGTGAAAGTGTTAAACAAAGAAAGTCAGGGGACAAAGATCACCTTAACAGAATGTGTTGGACATAGCTGACGTCTTAGCAGCAACAGTGGAAACCAGAACACACTGGAATGAAAGCTCTCATTTGCTGAGAGAAAACAACTGCCAGCTGAGAGGTCTATAGCCAATAAAAATGACATTAAAAATCACAGACCTGTACCTCTGAAACAAATAATACATCATTTGTTAAAAAAAAAAAGAAGAAGATAGCAGGAAGGGAAAAATGAAAAGGGGGAAATCAGAGGGGGAGATGAACCATGAGAGACGATGGACTCTGAGAAACAAACTGAGGGTTCTAGAGGGGAGCGGGGTGGGAGGATGGGTTAGTCTGGTGATGGGTATTAAAGAGGGCACGTACTGCACGGTGCACTGGGTGTTATACGCAAACAATGAATCATGGAACACTACATCAAAAACTAATGATGTAATGTATGGTGATTAACATAACAATAAAAATATTTAATTAAAAAAAAAAAACTAATGATGTAATGTATGGTGATTAACATAACATAACAAATTAAAAAAAAAAAAGAAATGGAGATTTTTCAAATACAAGCTGAGAGAATTCACCGCCAGCAGACCTGCACTGAGGAAATAGTACAGGCTATTCTTCAGGGGGTAGGCAAATGATCTCAGATGGACAGATGGATATGGAGGAGTGAAGAGCAATAAAAATGATAATTCTGCGGGTCAATCTAAATGAGCCTTAACTGTATGAACAACAAAACCCAACAGTGAGGGGGTGCCTGGGTGGCTCAGTCGGTCAAACGTCTGCTCTCAGTTCAGGTCATGATCCTGGGGTCTTAGGTTTGAGCCCCACATCGGGCTCCCTGGTCAGCAGGGAGTCTCCTTCTCCCTCTGCCTCTGCCCCTCCGTCCCTGTTCCTGTTCTGTCTCTCGCTTTCTCTCTCTCAAATAAATAAATAAATAATCTTAAAAAAAAAAAACAAAACCCCAACAAGATAGGAAGAATATGTTGTAGGGTTTAAAATGTAGAGAGAATCCAAAGCCTCCCACGAGTTGTCCTTACTCTACCCTTCTATTTTTATCTCCCACTGCTCTTCTATCCCCTGTGCTCTCACAGAGCTGGGTGCTTACTGGTTCCTGTTTTGTACCGGACACATTTTTTTGCTTCTGTGCCTTTGTCTGAATAGTTTTCTTTCTCCAGCTGGGATGCACTCAGTACCATGCCCCCTTCCTGAAACCCAGTTGTCCTGCAATGCCCAGCTTCCATGTCATTTTACAGTGAAATTTTCCTTGATTCCCCTAGATGGGAGTAGATCATTTTCAAAAGTCCTACAGTTCTTTGTAGAACCCTTACACAATTTATTACTTTTTTTTTTTTTTTTGGTAAAATAAGGATGTTAACAGAAAAAAAAATAAAAACACAATTTAATTGCTGAACCAAGAGTCCCTTGAGATGTGGTTATCTCTCACTCCTACTGAGGTTTCTTTTGTTTCTTCCTTATTAAAAATGCAGTGTTCGTTACAGAAAAAAGGGAAGGATAAAGAAGACACCAAGAATACCCATAGTCCTCCCCACTCAGCTCAGGGTACATCCCTGAACACTGCTTCACATAGTAACTATCAGGGAGCTGTGTAATCTGCTTTCTCATACCCCTTGAGGGCAGACACTACGGCTGACTCAGCTCTGCATGTCCCATGTCTTACACAGGTTAATGCATGAGGAACATCAAAGAAGTCCTGGTAGATTAGGGATGGCAGAGACCTCAATGTTAAAAGTCTTACTTCTGAGTCATTCTTCTCCCTTTCCATCCCCTACTTCACCTCTCGCGGTACCTGGGCGGGGATGGTGCCATTGTTCTTGAGGATGAGAGGCAGCTTCTCTGACTGACCAACCAGAAGCCTCTTGAAGAGGAGCAAGGGGTTTCCATACTGGTTGCAGAGAACCGGCCGCACTATGGTCACCCGAGGGAGGTTCCCTTCCCCGACGATATCAAACACGAGGCTTCGGTTCCTGGTCAGGTTGCTGCAGGGAACAGGACAATGGAGGCCTGTCAGCCTGGTGTGCCAGGAATGACATTCCAACCTCATCCTGCAGGAGAGGGGGCTGGTACCTAGGCAAGCCATCCAACGTAGCCTCGAAGATACACTGGTAGGTATGCATGGTCTGCGGGGTGAAGGTCACCGTGGCAAAGGCATGCGAGCGGCTGGCAACACACATCTTATTAGGTTCCACGTCAAAAATGTCAGTGATTCGGGCAATGAGCTGGGGAGGGAGAGCAGGGATTAGGGTGTGTTAGCACTTTATCTGTCCCCATCTTGTGGCAGTGTTTTGGGAAGACTCTAGGGACTGTAGGGACCCCAGCAAAGCCTCAAAAGGATTTTTTCATTCTTAAGGGTGGCAAGTGGGATTCAAGACTGGCTTGCTCCCTTTTTATGTTTTTAGTGCAGAACAGGAAGAAAGCTGCCCCTTGAGGTCCAGAAGAAGGTCAGAGGGTAATGACTGGATGTCACCAGGGCCTGAGAGAAGTCATAAAAGGGATGAGACAGTCTTTCAAACCCTACCCCTCCAAGGTGACAGTCCCCTGGGAAAACACGCGTGTGCGTGCGCGCATGCGCGCACACACACTCTCTCTCTCTCTCTCTCCCCGAGGCTCTAGACTAGGCCACCCCTGCAGTGGTCTCCCTGCCACCATTGGCCACGTGAACAATGTCAGCTAAGTGGGAGTGGGAGCTAAGATTCCCCCTTTGGGCAGAGGACGAAAGCAGCCACGGTGAGATTAGGCCATATTTGCAGTGCATCTGATTGGCTATTGACTGAGCCAATTTTTGAGCCAAAATTCTCGGTATCCTGAATTTTCTGTTCCATTGTGAGGAAAAAGGATTTCAGTGTGGTCTGACCTGGAGAGGAAGGGAGCTCTGAACCTACAGGCCTTGAGATGGGCACTTATTATTTACCTTGTACGTGGACGAAGCTTGGCTTTAAATGTAGCCCTGTATCCCTAGGCTTCATTTCCCTAACTGTAAGATGAGGAGAGTAATACAAAGTCTGATCATACAAACTTTCTGTGAGGATGAACTGAGGTAATACATGTAAATAATTTAACACAGTGCCTAGCATGCAGCCGGGGTCAGTAAATGTTCATCGTTTCTCCTTGCCCTTATAATCTGACATCCCCCAAACCCTCCTTACCACGAGGCAGCCTGCCTGAGATGGCACTTGCCTTTGGCTCACCCCACCATGCTTCATCTATTACATGCCTAGCTGAGTGTTTGATGGATGAGCGAGTTGCTCATTGCTGTGTACCACTTTAAAACCCAGAGGAGGCACCCACTGGGACAAATGTCTGGCTCTTGGCCTAGGGGAAACCACCCAGTGACCTCATGTGACTTCCAGCAGGGCCTGAGAGCCAGATAATCCCCACTCAGGTCTAGCAGTGCTAGAGCAGGGTTTTTAAGAGCTCTTTCCAAGGATTCATGCCAACCACAGTGGGCTAGGGCCATTTGAGGCTGCTAACCTTGTTGGAGATGGGCTTAACTACGATGTTCACATCACAGGCAATCTTTCCCACGTTGCTGATCTTGAACCGAGCCTTGGCCTGATGACCCACCAGGACATTGCAGAAGATGAACTTCTTCTCATCCTCCACAAAGAGCCCCCCACTCTCTATGGTCTGTAGGATGTTGAGCAGAGTGGTGCTGCTACAAATCTGGTGCTCTTCAAATATCAAGGCATTGTTGTCAGTCACAAAGGCTGGGGAGAATGAGAGACGAGGCCTGATAGCCCAGTTCCTGCTTTCTGTAATTGCTAATGTGAAGATTTGGATTCTGACAGAGGATGGTCATAGAGGAGGTGTAGGGGAATTCACACAAGCGGGTGGGAGTGATGGTACAAATTCTATCTTCTCTTCCTTTTCTGTACTGCTCTTGTTGGTTGTCAGACCCCAACCATATATTCCTCCCAGTAGTAAGGAGAGGTTAGATCTGGGATCTGGGGTGGGCTTAGGAAGGAAGGGGGCATTTGGCCCATGTCGGTGCGAGGCTGTATGCCGCCTATAGTCAAAGCAAGAGGAGTTCTCTCTGCGCTTTACCTGAATCTTGCTTAATTAAAGTTAGAGTATGCACAGTCACTGACCATTGTTGTCTGTGCATATGTTGCCCACAGGGAACGGCCGGATTTGGTGTTCCTGGATCCTGTGCCATATCCCATTACACCATGATTCCCAGATAATACTATTTGTCTGAGAATCCTGGACCAAACTCAGGAAGACTAGGAGTTTAAAGCTGCACATCTTTTAGGTGTAGATGCCTGGTAAGTCTTTAAGGAAAAATATGGCTGAAGACGCTAGAGGAAGTTCCAAGGACCCAAAGGAAGTAGTGCGGCCGTATCTGCTAAACATGTGCGTGGTGGGAGGGGGAGGGTCTTTTAAGGGGAGGGTGCTGTCCAATCTGAGTGCCCGGTACCTGGTAGACAGGCTTCAGCCAGCAAGGTGTAAGGAATGCCCGCAGGCTGGTCTCTTGGGTCTCGGTCAGATATATCGATTGCTATGAATTCCTCACACCTTCCCACGGGGTCAGCCACACAGTCGACAGTGATGACCTGCGTTCCTCCAGAGGGGACAGAGCCAAACCCAGGGTACACGGTGAACATGCCGTGGGTGAAGCGCACCTGTAGGAAAGTCGGAGGGGGTGGGGGGGAGGAGGCAGAGTGAGTGACAGAGTCTGAGCCCTTCCACCGGAGCTTGTGAGACGGTGTTGAGAGGGGCCTGCGGGGCCTCTCTCCACAGGCTCTCTCTGAGCCCCAGCTTTCTCCTGGAGGCAGGGAGGGTCTGGGGAATCTTCAGGGATGGGCTCCCTCAGTGCTTCCTTCTCTGCACATTCCTTCTGACCAACTGTGACTGAATGGGAGCCGAAGGAAACATCCACACATTCCACATCGCACAACTCTTACCCAGATGGGAATCTTCTGGCGGAGGGCGCAGACAGAGCTCTGGTAGAGGTTGTAGATTTCTGAGTCAGATACTCATGAGTTTGAATCCCACCCCTGCTATATTTTAACTGACCTTGGACAAGTGACTTCTCTGAGTCTCAGTTTATCCATGAAATGGGGCTAAACCCCCTACCTTGAATCACTGGAGGCTTCAAAGGGAAAAACGTGTGTGGGACACTTCACATAGCCTCTGGCACAGAATTAGTGCTCAAAAAATGGGATATTATCATGCACTCCTCTGGTTCCTAGGAGCTTCCTTCTTCTTCCCCCCACACCCAGCTTTATTGACATGTAATTGACATACGACATTGTATAAGTTTAAGGCTACAATGTGCTGATTTGATACTGGAATATACCACAAAATGATTACCACAATAAGGTTAGTTAATATCTATCAGCTCACATAATTACCATTTTTTTTGGCGATGAGAACATTTACGATCTACTCTCTCAGCAACTTTCAAGTACATAATACAGTACTGTTAACTAGAGTCACCATGCAAATATTAGACCCCAGAACTTATTCATCTTGTAACTGGAAGTTTATACCCTTTGACCAACATCTCCCCCTTCCCCCTATCACTCCCAGATCCTTATGATCACATTGGGCTGAGGATAATCCAGGACAATCTCCCCCCATCTCAAGGTTCTTATAAAATCATATCAACAAAGTTGGTCACCTGTAATCAGGGAGGTGCAAATCAACATCACAACGAGATACCACCTCACACCTATTTGAATGGCTGGTGTCAAAATTATTATTGTGCACTGTTGGTGGGAATATAAATATAAATTTATATAAATATAAATTGGTGAGAAGGAGAAGCTTTGGATAATAAGAATATGGTTAAATGTCTAAAGGAGCAAAGTCACACTGAAGTCAAAGAACAGCTGGAAAGGGTAGACTCAAAACAGCGAGTAGGGAGAAAGGAATGGTGGTCAGAGAAAGGAATCTTAGAAATCAAGAGTTCAGAAGCACCTCAGTTCCCTCTGATGTGAGATCCAGGGTGTGACCTTGAGAGTGAAGTGCCAAGGTGGGAGAACAGACAAGGTCATTGGAACTGAAAGGTAGGGTGTTAAAGAGAGGCTGCTTCACTGAAGAAGGCAAAACAAGCAAAAGCGGACAACAACAAAAAACCCAAATCCAAACATACATATATTAGAAGGGATGAGAATTATAGAAACATATGTAGAAAATGATGTATGTTAATTAAAGAGAAGGCTTCTGTTGAAGAGGAAAATACTTGAGAAGACATAAAACCAACATGTAGAAAATTCAATCCAAATGCAAAAAATAATTATTGATGTCCAGAGAGTGCAGAGTATCTACTTTCTCTTCTTTGTACCTTTAATGCTCATGTGGAAGCTGGAGCTGCAGCTGCCATCTTGGAACCATGAGGAAAAGTCAAGAGACTCACACAGACTTCAATGAGCCTCTAAGCCAACACAAGCAACTGCCTACCTTATATCTTAGGCAAACTATAAGAGACTCTTAACTCTAGAAAACAAACTGAAGGTTGCTGGAGGGGAGGTGGGTAGGGGGATGGGGTAACTGGGTGATAGGCATTAAGGAGGGCTCTTGATGTAATGAGCACTGGGGAAGGAAGGAAGGAAGGGGTGTTATATTCAACTGATGAATCACTGGGTGTTATATTCAACTGATGAATCACTAAATTCTACCCTTAAACTAATAAAAAAAGAAAGTAAAAAACCCCATATCCTATCTGTTTAGACCACTAATGTTGGATTTTCTGTTACTTGTAGCTAAACACAATCCTAATACACGAGCAAGTCTTCCTCCTCTATGAAGCCTTCAATGACTTTTAACAGTTGCCAGGAACAGTAGGACCTCATTCCTTCACCTTTCTGGAGCTTCTCCGTCCACACACACCTCAATTATAGTATTTACCATGTTGTTGATCAATTGCTTATTTACCCTCTGCCTAAAATATTTCTTCTACATCCATTTAGAATCATATTAGTGCTATAATGTTTGCTTTAATTGATAAACATTATTTAGAAAACTTGAAGAGAAGGGAAGCTTCCTTCTTGATGTTTCATAATTCCTTCTTTTTTTTTTTAAAGATTTTATTTTTTTTAAAAGATTTTTATTTATTTATTTAACAGAGGTAGAGAGAGAACACAAGTAGGCAGAGCAGCAGACAGAGGGAGAGGGACAAGCAGGCTCTCTGCTGAGTGGGGAACCCAATGCGGGGCTCGATCCCAGGACCCTGGGATCATGACCTGAGCTGAAGGCAGGCTCTTAACCGACTGAGCCACTCAGGCTCCCATTTTTAAAGATTTTAAAAGAGATTTATTTATTTATTTGAGGGGTTGAGGGTGAGCGGCAGAAAGAGGAGAGACAGAATCTCAAGCAGACTTCCTGCTGAGTGTGGAGCTTAAAGTGGGGCTCCATCTCACAACCCTGGGATCATGACCTGAAACAAAATCAAGAGTTGGAGGCTTAACTGACTGAGCCACCCAAGATTTTTTTTTCAAGAAATCTCTACCCCCAACGTGGGGCTTGAACTCATGACCCTGAGATCAAGAGTCACACATGCTCTACTGATTGAGCCAGCCAGCTGCCCCCACAATTCCTTCTTTAATTATTTACTTTTTGTTCAGAGAACTTCCTTTAGCCAGTCTTTTAGGAGAGACCTGCTGGTAACAAAATAATTTTCCTTCATTTGAGAATGTTTTAATTTTCCATTTATTTCTGAGGCATACTTTTTTTCAGTGGGAGAAATTCTTTTTTTCTTCTTTTTAATTTTATTGTTATGTTAGTCATATTTTTGCTGTATGTAAGATTCGGGCTTCGCAGTTACCTGCTTCCTGCACTTGCAAAATGTTGAGCCACTTTCTTCTGGCCCCTATGGTTTTTGATAAGAAATCTGCTGTCATTCAAATAGTTTCCTTCTTATATGTAAGGTGTCTTTCCTCTTTCACTGGTTTTAAGATTTTTTGTCTTTAGTGTTTAGAAGTCTGACTATGATGTGTGTGGGTTTGGATTTATTTAGATTTGATCTATCTGGGATGTGCCCTGATTCTTGAATCTATAGGTTTACATCTTCTGCTAAATTTGGAAAGCTTTCAGTCATCATATCTTTGAGTACCTTTTCAGCCCAACCCTATTTCTTTTCTTTCATTTTTTAAAGTTTATTTATTTATAATCTCTACCCCCAACGTGGGGCTGAAACTCATGGCCCAGAGATCAAGAGTCACATGAGAACACTCTCTACCAACTGAGCCAGACAGGTGGCCCAGCCCAACCCTATTTCTTATCTCTTTCTGGAACTCTGATGACAGGGATATTAGATTTTTTCCACAGGTCCCTCAGGGTCTGTTCATTTTTTTGTTCATTAGACTCAAATAGATTTTTCAATAGAACTCAAAACAGAGTTTATTTTCTCTTTTGTTTAGATTGGGGAGAATAATGGCTTCCCAAAGATGTCCACATCCTAATCCCTGGAACCTGTGAATATGTTACCTTACATGGAAACAAACTTTTTTGATATGACTAAATTAGGAACCTTGAGATGGGGGAGATTATCCTGTATTATCCTGAGACCAGTGTGATCATAAGGGTCCTTATATATGGAAGAAGCAGGCCTAAGAGAGTTAGAGGGGGACGTGAGTATGGAAAAGGCTGGAGTCATGTGATGTGAGAAGAACTTGATCCATCATGGCTGGTTTTGAGGATGGATGAAGGAAATCATGAACCGAGTAAGACAGGTGTCCTCTAGAAGCTAGAAAAGGTAATGAAATGGATTCTCTCCCAAAGTCTCCAGAAAAGAATACAGCTTTGCCAGTACCTTGGTGTTAGTCCAGTGAGACCTATGTCAAGCTTCTGACCTACAGAAGTATAAGCTAAAAACTGTGTTGTCCTAAGCCATTACATTTGAGGTAATATGTTATGAGAGCAATAGGAAAGAGAGAGAGGAATTTCTATTGTTCTGTCTTCAAGTTCATGAGTTCTTTCCTCTGTCCCCTTCATTCTCTGTTGAACCCACCAAGTGAGTTCACTTTTGGTTATTTTTTCGCTTCCAAAATTTCCATTTGGTTCTTTATATCTTCTCTTGCTTTGCTGAGAACTAACTACGTTTTCATTAGTTCCAAGCATGTTTGTAATTACTCTTTGAAGCATTTTTATGTTGGCTGCTTTATGATCTTTGTCAGGTAATTCTAACAGTTATTCAATGCTGACACCTATTGTCTGTCTTTTTCCAGTTTGAGATCTTCCCAGTTTTTGGTATGATGCATGATTTTGATTTGAAACCTGGGAATTTTAGCTATTATGAGACTCTGGATCTTATTTAAATCTTCTGTTTGAGTGGGCCTACTCTGACACCGCTCTGGCAAGGGACATGGGAGCACTGCCTCATTACTGCCAGGTGCGGGTGGTGGTCCTGATTTCCCACTTGGACTTCTCACAACTGCCTGACAGGGGTGGCAGTTCCTGTTGCCCACTAGTCCTAGACAGATACCTCGCTGGTGGGGAGGGGTAGAGTGCCTTGCTGCTGTTGGGCTGATGCCTTAGGGTAGGAAGGCCCATTGTGGGGGAGGGAGGGACATCTCATTACCATTGGGTTGGGGTGGAAGTCAAGGCTTCCTATGTGGTGGCTTCACTGACAATGATGGAAGTGGGAGGGGATAATGAAAGCCCTAGCTCCCTACTGGGCATTCTTGAACACAAGAGGGGGTTGGGGCACCTCATGACAGCCTGGACAGAGTATAAATCTAGATTCCCCAATGACCTTTGCTAGGAGGGATTGGGTAGGGCCACACAGATTTTCCTGTTGCATTTGACTGTAACAGAATAATTCTTATCTGAAAGTTTTCTATCTTGCTAGGCTGCTTTTTTCTTGGTCCTTTGGCTAGTAGGAGCAGGCTTTTTGGGGGATTTTTTTGGGTCTCTGTCTACTGATGTTTCTGGGCTGCTGGCTCCTTTAGCACCCAGTTTTAGATCTATGGAGCAAAAAGGAAACTCAGGGAACTCACCATTGTGATGTTCATTGGTCCCAAGGACCCTAGCTGGTCTGATTTTTTTCTCCTTACCTTTTAGGCTTCTAACATTTGTTTTGCACATGATGTGCAGGGTTTTTATTTGTCCTTAGTTGGGCAGAATAAGGAAAGGTATATCTACTTCATCTTATTAGAGCAGAAATCTTAAAATCTGCTCTCATTTAAGCCAGTCCAAATGGGCTTTGTTTCTTATAAACAAATGATTCTTGATTAACATATATATGAAGAGCTGAAACTTAATTTTAAGGCAATGAAAGCCAATGAAGGTTTTAAAACAGAAGAGGGGGGCGCCTGGGTGGCTCAGTTGGTTAAGCAACTGCCTTCGGCTCAGGTCATGATCCTGGAGTCCCGGGATCGAGTCCCACATCAGGCTCCCTGCTCAGCAGCGAGTCTGCTTCTCCCTCTGACCCTCCCCCATCTCATGTTCTCTCTCTCTCTCTCTCTCTCATTCTCTCTTTCAAATAAATAAATAAAATAAAAAAAAAAACAGAAGAGGATATCCAAATTAAAAGTCAATGCCTTGCCTGAAAATGAAAGTGATATTTCAACAGAACTAGTTCCTGTCACAGTAGGTTCAGATCCTGTTAGCCTAGGGAGGTATCTGTTGCAAGAACTAGGCAGGAGGGAACTAGTTGGAAGGTGGCCTTACAGGGTTCCTTTGGAGAAGGAAAAGGGTGCTCACCTGGTTTGTGATGTTTACTTCTTTCTGAACAGCATCAGAGAACTTAGTTGCTTTGGAAGGGCTAGCTTTGTAGAAGCTCTCACTTTCCCGGGATCTTGCACGTCTAACATGGCTGACTCTGATTAAAGAAGCAAGAGTACACCCTCAGGTTGGGATGGTGACATTAAATACCATCTGTCAGCTAACTGTATGGTCTCTTCTCTTAGAAATGGGGGAGATAGCCAAAGGGGCATCTGGGAAAGTCAGCCTTTTTATCATTAGCCAACCTCATTTAACAATTTTAAGAAAACTATGTAGTCATTGGACTTATTAAATATGATTCATAAGGACATTGAAAATTATTGCAAGAAAACAATAATGTATAAGTGTTTACCTGAGTTTCCTGGAAAGCAGTGTGTGAAAATTATTTATAGAAAATCATCTGTGGAAAAATCTTTAACCTGATCTTACTTTAAAAAATGAAATGTCAAATAAAAAATTCTGTCCCTTTTCTTCACATTTATAGTCATGGTGTTTTTAAACTGAGTTTAAGCATTAGCTCAAACATAGGTTCTGGTAGCTGTTTACTTCACTTGAAGCTTGTTTACCCAATAATTAGTTTGTCTAGAGGCCAGTTAACCTACAATGTCAAATGCTTTTGAGGTGCAATCTTAAACTTTTGACGGTTTTATATAGTTCAGCATTTACTTGCTTAATGACCAGAACAACTAAAAAGTTCAACCCCCTTTGAATATTTTGCATTAATTTGTACACACTAGGATGAAAAACAAATTATAATTAAAAACAATTTAAAGCAAATACAAATACATCATAATGTCTATCAACAGTATTAAATTATTATAAAATAAATGCTATAAAAGTGAATAAATTAAGTTGAAATTAAATTTGGAAGGAAGAGACTTTATTATTTTTTGTGTGTGTGAAGCAAGTATTGGTATTAATAAGCAAGAATCATTCACCAACCTTTATTATAAAAGCCACTGAGAAAAAAGGCTAGGCCTTTTTTTTTCTCTTTCGAAAGGGATTTTGGATAGCTTAACCCAAAATTTCTTAATAGATTCAAACTTAGCCACAATGGAAGAGGATATCTACAAAAATGCAAAACAATTACAAACAAGGTATTTCTGATTTGAAACAATTAACTGGAAGTCAATTTTAAATTAATTAATTAGGGAGCCAATTAGTCAGGACAAGGAGACTTGGGAACCGGTAAAACTATCCCTAATTTGCCAAAAAAGAATATGACCACCAAAAGCCAAAAGCACTCAAAAGCGTAAATTATTTTAGTGAATTGATTAAGAGCTGCCTTGTGAGGAATACAGAGTTTTGCCATTGGAACAACTAAGTGAGCTGTTGCGACAGCATCTTCGTGCGGAGAAGGTGAAAGCAGGCCCGGTAGATGGAAGGCAGCAGCGTGCTTCTCTCATCTACGTTTCTGGGATACCTTCTGCCACCCCCCACACGAAACACAGCTCTGATTTCGTTTGACTTAGCTCGTGGTTATACTAGTCCCCCAATATCCTACAGGACAATGAATAGGACAATGACTTACTGTGAGGCCTGTAGCATGCTGGAAGCACCAGGACAACAGACACAACCCCACACGGAAGACTTTACATTTGTTCAATTAAATCTATCACGTGTCTGACAGCAGTAAGAAAGCATATGAAATCTGAGGGCAGAGATGTGGGTTCAGAGCTGAGATCTACTGGTGAGTTCTTGCCTAATCTTCGCCAAGCCATTTCTAAACCTTAGTGACTTCACCCCACAAAAGGGGACTGGGTGAATTTAGATAAAATATATGAAAGCTCTTTGTAAAACACAATGCACTAATTAACCAGGGAATGGCATGAGTTAAGTAAAGACTTGTCTTACGCTTTCTTTTGATGAATGGGGCTCTCCCCGGTCAGCCTATAGAGGGCGTACTTGAAGTCAGTAACACCTTGATTTTCTATGGTGAAGGTGGTGCTTTTCCGAGTGCCACAGATCAAAGCCCCAAAGTTGATGATGGAGGAGGGGCTGATGTTGTATTTGGAGTACACTGCATTCACAGAAAACTTAATTGGGATGCTGGCAATGATTTCACCTCCTTCTGTGATATTGGGCTCAATAATCTAGAAAGGGAGAAAGGATTGGGAAGATGTCAGCCACTATGCTGAAGAATTTCCAGGACTGTTTACTTCATTCTTTGTTTTCATCACTGACATGAAACCAATTTCATTCTTTCATTTTCTTTATATTATCGCATCAACAGTATTAGCAAATACTGATATCAAACTTAACCATGTACCAGCCATGGATCAACGTGGACGAACTTGACCTCCTCTTTTACTTCCCCACTCTTCTCTTGCACTTGATGACTGAGCTCAGCACCTTTGGTGCTCCCCCAAATCAGGGGCTCTATTGCCTGTCTGGTACTCTCGATTTCTGATGACTTTGCACACCCCCCACCTGACCTACTCCTGCCTGCTAGTTGGGGACCAAACCCTTCTTCAAAAAGAAGACCATGTAGTCTTCTTTTTGACATGAGTCCCACAATCCTGCCACTGAGTGAATCCTCCCTTTAAGCTGTTTTACCTGACAGCGAAGAACTGGCTGGTGCTCAATCTTCACTTCCTTTTTAGCACGAAATAACACCTGGACAGTTGTGGGCTTTTCCGTTGAGGTTAATGAGCCCTTCTTGGGTTGGACTGAGATCATAGAATTTACATTGGTTGCCAAAATCCCTAAGGAGTCCACAGAAAAGCTGAATGATAGGAATGAAAGGTCAGTGGAAGCCATTATGGGGAACCCAAGATATTAGAGAGGAGACTCCAGACTGTTGAGTGTCTGCCATGTCTCCGGTCCTGCTTAAGCACTGTGTCTAGAAGTGCCCACTGTGCTTTGTACTCTGTGAGCACCCCTGCACAGCCAGGATTGATTAGGCTGGGGAGTGATGCTTGAGGCAATGATAGCCATTTCTAGCCTGAGGTCACGAGGTGCCTTTGCAGGAGATCTCTGTCCAACAGGGGCACTTGATGCTGGATATGGACCAACTAAATGAATTCATCTTTCTCTCTCTTCCTGTCTCTCTCTCACTCTCTCTGTCTCCCTTCCTCCCCTCTCTGAGCCTGACTACAGCACACACACAGGGAACAGTGTTGCAGAAGTGAGGGGATCTAAAGAAAGAGAGAAAGTGGGGGGCAGAAGCCATTTAACAGAGGTACTTGGAAAGGGAGGCCACGGCCCAATGGGAATGAGATGGGAAGCCATAGAGAGCAGCTGACTTGTGAGAATGGCAGAGGGACTGGAGCAGGAGCAAGAAACTTAAGTGGCGGTGGGACACCTGGAATTACTGTGGGGACCTAAATGTCATCCCCATGCTCCAGGAGACCTGGCCGCTCCGTTGCTGCATGCTTGGTGCCTGAGCTTCCTCACTTCTCTGCAAGTCCTTTCAATGAATTTTGATCGCCTGCTCCATCCTGAGGGTGACCGGCCCATGTAATCTAGAAGAGCAGAACTAGCGCTCCGTGATAACCTCCAACAAAACTCCTAAGGTGGCGAGATTCCACTCAGTGCTAATTCCAAGGTGTCAGTGGCTTTCTTCTAAGCTTGTTAAGCTTCTATTTATATTTATATATTTCAGTTTATGGGTCTAGTAATGGTAGCCCTGAGGTAGGACCTCTCTCATTTCAGCCTTCTTTTAGCTGCAATGAAGCTATCATGAATGCATGGAAATTTCTTCTAAGTCTGTGAGGGGGGAATCCCTTTATCAACTGCAAATTCTTCCAGGAGAACAATCATCTTCCATAGAGTAGATTGGCCATGGCTGCTGGCGCTGCCCCTAAGGGTTGTGTGGCCCTGCCCGGGTGACCTCCTCCCTCCCCTCACCCAGCACCACCCTTTCCTCTCTGAGAAATCTCTTATTTAGTGCTTCACTTTTCATCTCAAGAGATGAGCACAAGCTGGAGCTCCATTCCATCAGGCCACCATTTGGGTTCTATAACACAGTGGTTCTTAAAATTAAAAAAAGAAAATTGGAAAAATCCCTCTTTTTCACATGAAATCTCATGTGGAACGCCAACTTATGAAACAGATAGGAGCCAAAAGGAGGGCAGGACAGCTGAAGGCCAGGTCCCCATCTCTAGTCTCTCCCTCCCCCCCACCCAGGACCTCCCCTCACCTAGGACGTCTTCCTCCCGACCTCTCCCTCTGAGTCTCTCTCCCACCCTCAGACCCCTGTGGCTCTGGGTGCTTTGAGGGGGACTTTAAGGGTCCCTGTAAAGCCACAGATTTGAGAGCAGTGTGAAAATCCCTGCTCTTAGCAGTTGGAATTCCATTCATTTGAAGCCTGAGAGAGGCTACAAGCAGAGATGGTTCTTACGATTTCCTCAATCAAGTTTCTGTTTTTTATCTCCCAGACAACACTCTTCTCCCCATGAGCGGAAGTAGACGACCATATGCCTGATGGTTTCCAGGTTACCTGAACATGATCTCGTACTTCCCACGGTTCTTCAGTTGCAGGGGCTGCTTTGCCTCTTCCATGACCTTCATGACCCCAAAATCAAGGCCTCCTTCAGCTCCTGCAGAGGCCAGGGGCCAGGGTGGGGAGGGGAAGTGGACGGCGTGGGAGTGAGAAGCAGGGAGTTGAAGTTCACATGGAAAATCCACGGTTTAGAGAATTTGTTTTCTGAAAACACTGCAGCTGAAAAAACCTCCCGTAATCGATTCTCAGCAAACAAACAATAGACTCTGCTCCTGCACCTACTTCAACTTGGGTAGCTCCCTCTGGCTTTCATTTTAGGACTACTGTCCTTCCTTTCATGCTTTCCATTAGCTAAAATTTCTGGTATTTAAAACATTTTTTTGCATCAAGTGTATAATAAACATAGTTAGAATATTACATATAAATTTGTATTGTTTTACTTAGCACTGCATCATAAGCATTTCCCCACATAATTAAAAACTCCTTATAAATGTGATCTTAATGGTTATATAATATACCATGATATGCTGTTCTATAATTTATAATATTATATCTATGGTAATAGTGTTCCATTCTTGATAGATATTTAGGTTATTTTCAATCTTCCATTATTACATAATGCTGCAATAAATATCTTTGTACATAAGACTCACGACATCCAAGCAAACAGGCAGCTCTCATGCTCTCTGAATCTCGCTGAGAAGGAGAGCAATCAGAAGAAGGAAGAATAACAAAGAACTGCATGCTAAAAGGGAGGAATCTAACCTGGCTGTGAGGGCAGTGTGGTGGGCAGAATAATGCCCTGTGCCCCCAGAAGGTGTCTGTATCCTAATCCCTGGAACCTGTGAATATGGTAGGTCACATGGTAAAGGGGGATGATGGATGGAATTAAGGTTGCTAATCAGCTGACTCTATCTATCTATCTATCTATCTCTCTCTCTATCTATCTATCTACCTATCATCTGACTTTAAAATAGAAAGATTATCCTGGATTCTCTGGGTGGGCCCAATGTAATCACAACACAAGTAGAAGAGGGAGACAGAAGTGGGAGAACCAGAGAGATGGTGGCGCGAGAAGGATCTGACCCAGTGTCGCTGGCTTTGAAGATGGAGGAAAAAGGATCATGAGCCAAGGATGCAGGTAGCTTCTAGAAGCTAGCAAAGGCACAGAAACGGATTCTCCCCCAGAGCTTCCAGGAAGGAACGTGGCCCTGCCGACACCTTGATGTTAGCCCAGTTAGATCAGTTTTGGACTTCTGACCCCCAGAACTGTAAGATGATAAATTTGTATTGTTTTAAGGCACACAGTTTGTGGTAATTTGTTACAGCAGTGATGGAAGACTAATGCAGGTAGAGAGATAGGTACTTACTCTTGGATGGCTGTTCAGAAAAGAGCTCTGCCAACTTTATAATTAGGGCCACCCCCTGTCATCTCCAGTTGGAGAAAATTAAGATTCGTAGTCATGTTGCCGACATTACTCTGGGACTTGCATTACTATTTGCTGAAATTCCACACCCTCCCCAACAACCACTAGTCTTCTTCTACATAAGGAATACATTGCACTAAAAGATGGGACTTCTAAACACCCATTCCTTGAAGGGGTCAACAGACCTTTGGGGAAGGTGATGTCCAAGGCGACGTCGTAAGACTCTGCAAAGACCAAGATGTTTTCAATCTGAACAACACCAATGAGATTGTCTGCATCTAGAACCTGTTAGGGTAAAAGGGACTCTTCAGTAAAAGCAAGGGGGCTTGGAGCTTGAACTGTGTACCACGCAGCTGGAATGATGAAGGAGGAGATATGGTAGAGAATATCTTAAAAATGTATTTAGCTTTTGTCTTCACTGAGCATTTGGTATGATTAGTGTTCTCATAACACCCTTTGGGAAATGCCAGTGTAGACAATCAATATAAGAATGGGGAAAAGGGGCTACATTTTTCATCTTGTCCACTTATGAGGTTTAAATTATTTGCGTGATTTTCACCGCATTATTGAAGTTGGGGCTGTGAGTATACATTGCAGAAAACTGTTCTTTGGAACTTTTAAATAAAATAAACCTGAAGAGCATTTTTATGACAGTTGAAGTGGAAAACATGCACACTGTAAATCATCCTTGCTTTACTAATTTTATAAATCTGAATTCTTCTGTTGTTTCTGGTACAACCTGTAGAAAAAGTGCTAGATTTTCACATAATGTAAGTGTTCAATGTTTCTCTTCAGGAAATTTCAAATGTTTTATTTAAGTGAACACCTTCACTATTCAAGTTGGAAATGTAAACAACAACAACAAAAAAGCAAGCCTGCACCTGTCCCCCAGTTGCTCAATGTCTCCTCCCTCCCTTCCTGTCCTGAGGAGCACCTGAACTGGTGTCAGCTGTCAGCTGGACCCAACTTTTAACTCTTGAGACAAACAAGGGGGTGATAGAGGGTCCATTCATCAAGGGGAAGAGCTGTTGGCAGTGGGGGTGGCTCTTCTGGACACCCCTGCCTCTCTGTTGATGTCTCAAGTTGAGAAATGAAGTCACCAGCTTCCCATGACTTGTGCTTTGGTGTCAAGTGGGAAATTTGTAGCTGTCACCAAATTCAAGTTTTAATTCAGAATTTCCATCTTTCATCATGCATTTTGCCAATGTTTCACAGAGCAAACTGGACCCACTTCAGTTTTATCTTCTTTTGCTACTCAGTCTCTGACAGAGATGACAAGGAGGACTGACAGCAGGAGGGAAAAAAAAAACCATGACAATCAATTTGGATTATCAGCTCCAGAATTTACACAGTGTTTTCCTCCTGATAGACAGCGTGTACCCAGAGCACTCTATTTCCTTTGTTTTCTTATTGGAGTGGAGTGGAGATTAAATTTTGTAATTGGGGGAGATAGAACAAACAATTTAAGAGGTACACAAAATAAAATGAGTTCACCAGAGTACTTTCCAAAGGGACCAGAAAGCAAGGCATTTCCTCACGGAGATGTTGAAGGAATATAATCTGGAGGAGAGAAGCCTTAGACCACTTTGAGGAGCCTGAGGGGAAATCCACTGTGTCTGCTTTGACTGGAACGCACAGGGATGCCATATCATCCCCAAAATAAAGAAATGTTTCCATACCAATTGGCAAACAGCTGTCACATGACCTCTCCAAGAATCCCCTCTTGCCTGCCTCCCCCACCACTCCCACCATGGGAACCCGTGAAGGCCCCATGATCCAGCAAAAGAAGGATGAAGCTGACACAGCTGGGACCCTACACCAGCCATGTGGCCTGGGTTCATTGTGCAGAGACCCGTGTCTGTGTAGAGGCTGATGTTTAAAATGTTGACTATCACCCTCTGATATTCAAAAACAATTGCTGATTAAATGAACCTGTCAGTATCTGTGTTCGGCTACCTTAAGGACTGTCATAAGTAGGGGATAAGAGAGATTGGATCCATTGAGTGGACCCAAAAGTAGAAACAGGATTAATTCCTGTAAGTTACAGTTGGAAATCTGAACCCAACCCAAGGAAGAATTAATAGACTGCTCAAAGGTAGATCAGGCTGCTTTGAGTATGGGTAAGTTTTCTATCCCCGCAACTATTCAAAGAGAAGCTTGGATAATCTGTTGATGGTTGCAGAATCAATGCAAGCATCAAAAATCAATGACATTCATGGGCGCCTGGGTGGCTCAGTTGGTTAAACGACTGCCTTCGGCTCAGGTCATGATCCTGGAGTCCCGGGATCGAGTCCCGCATCGGGCTCCCTGCTAAGCAGGGAGTCTGCTTCTTCCTCTGACCCTCCCCCCTCTCAGGTGCTCTCTCTCTCTCAAATAAATAAAATCTTTTAAAAAAAAAAATCAATGACATTCATTCATTCATTTGCTCATTTTACAGATTCTACTGAGTACCTTCTACGTTCGGGCCTGTGCTAGACATTGGGGATATGATGGGGTAGTGGACTGGCTGGTGGCCATGTCTTAACCCCTGGAACCTGTGAATGTGACTTTATTTGGAAACAGTTTTTGCAGAGGTAATTAAGTTAAAAATCTTGCGATGAGATCATCCTGGTTTATCTGGGTGGGCCCTAAACCCAATGACAAATGTCCTTACAAGAGACAGAAGAGGAGAGGACACAGGCAAAGAAGACCATGTGAAGACAGAGGCAGAGATCGGAGTGACGCAGCCACGAGTCCAGGAACTTCCAGAAGCTGGAAGAAGCGAGGAAGGATTTTTCCCTAGAGGCTTCAGAGGGACTGTGACCTGCAGACACCTTAATTTCAGACTTCTGGCTTCCGGAATTGTAAGAGAATAAATGTGTGTTGTTTTAAGCCACTTAGTTTGTGGGCATTTATTACATCAGCTCTCAGGAATGAATACAGATGATGAGCAAGTCAGGCAGGACCTTGCCCTGATGGAGTTCACAGGAGAAAGTAAAAAAACAAACAGGATATCTGCCAGGGGGAGGCGCTCTGAAAGATACGGAAGGCAGGGTGAGTGATTGCACATAACGGGATTTCTTCTACGTGGTGATTAGGGGAACCCAGTTGGAGCAGTGCTGTTTAGTGGACCCCACAGAGTATGGGGGCAACATTCTTGGCAGGGCTGCTGCAAGGCCAAGGGCCTGAGGCAGGAAAAAGCCAAGAGACCACGTGACAGAGTCAATGCGTGAGAGCTAGGGTAGATACCGAGGCAGGACGGGCCTGAGAAGCTGGCGGGGACCCTGGGCTTGATCCTCACTGCATCTGGAGCCAGCAGATTGCTGCAGGGAGGAGAGGGGCCTGACCTGACTGACCTGGAGCAGGCATGGGGCCTCTGCTGAAGTCCAGGCAAGAGATGCCACAGGCGGCCTGGGAAAGGGTTGTGGCAGCAGTGTGAGCAGAGGGGTGGGTGGGGCAGGAGACGCACTGGGAGACAGTCGGAGCCCTGGGCTGGAGGGCAGGCTGTCAGGGGAAGGAGGGAATCCAAGATGGTTCTTAGGTGTCTGCTGGAAGCATCTGGGCGAAAGGTGGTGTTACCGAGATAGGCATCTGAGCCGTGACCGGGTTTGGGAGTGTGGAATCGGGAGTCTCAGGCTTCCATCGGGATGGTAACATCATTCACTCCCTCCCTCCCTTACTCTGAGTGAACGCTCTGTTTGTGGCACCGGGCAATCAGCCATGAACAAGACTGCCTTGATGGAGCTTACAGTTGTGTGCCGAGCAAGATACTGTGGGTCAGAGGTTGTCAAAGAGGGATCAGTTAGGAGCGTGTGGCACGGAGACATGGCTGTGTGTGTGTGTGTGTGTGCCTGTCAGAGAACCCAACATGTACGCATCTTGATGACCAAGTCTGGAGATGTGTGAAGCCTCACCTCCAACCGGATCACCTTCTTTATGTTGACAGGTTTGGAGGGCTGGAAGTGCACTTGCAGGCTGTATTCAGCCTTGGGCGGGATGGTCCCCTGCATGGTGGACACGGTGAAGTCATCGCCCAAGTGCTCCAGGCTGGTGATCCGCCAGGCCACGGGCAGGGGTGTGACATTGTGGAGAAGAACTACCTTGGAGTCTTTCCTGCGGAGACCAAAAGAAATTTTGTCAGTTTCAAATGATTCTGATCTATTATGGCAGGTCCGAAAAAGCATTTCTAGTTATTTCAATCATTGTTTAGCTCACTAAGCAGAGTTTATCAGGGAATGGGGCCTGGCGGTAATGATCAAGGAATGCAGGATACATATCATAATATTCTCTCTCAGTAGCCCCCAAAATAAACACTCTCTATTTAGAATAATAAAATGCCAGTGAGTGAAATGTTAAGTTCCAGTTTTGGTCTAGTGTTCTCTGTGCTTTAATTTCTAAACCAAAGATTCTTAACCTCTGAGGATAATGGACTGCTTAGAGAATTTGGAAAAAGTGAGTCGTCCTGAGAAAAATGCAAATATGCACACACTTTGGCAGTTGATTTTTTTTGGAGGGGGTCGATCCTGGACCCCATGTGTGAACTTCATAGGGTTACGAATCATCTGGGTTTGCACAGGGCCAGAAGTTTCCCTGGATGCAGGACTTTCAGTGCTAAAATGAGGAGAGGCCTGAGAAAATCGGGGTGAGTTGGCCACCCTAGAACTTAATATTCTTTAAATCCCATTAGAGTCCTGGTATCATCCAGAACTCTGACCTGTGCAACAAGAGCCGGTCAAAATGCAATTGTTTGGAGTCCAGCTCCAGTTCTGGGCGAACACCTTGGCAGGTTAACTTGAAGACAGCTGGCTCTGGGTTCTCCTTGATGCAGCAGACAATGCAGTCATCAAAGACACCAACTGCGGTAGGGTAGGCCCATACGTTCAGCATCTAAAGGAAGCACCAAAACAGTATACTGATGCTGAGAATGCCGAGACCTCCAAAGTCCCAAGAAAGACTTGCCCTGGTGGATTTGTTTCCATGCAACTGTACCTGCTTCTCATTGGGTTTTAGAGTCATGTTGACGGGCTCCAGGAAATAGGTGCTTGCTTTGACATCATTCTGAAAACAGAAGAATGCCTCCACAACCATTGGGGAATTGTTCAGGATGGTCAGTGTCTCCATGTTGCCTGGGAACAAGGAGGACTTGTACCTGGAAGTGAACAAAGATTAGGGATGTGGATATAAGGATTGACTGGGAGTTCAGGTGGCAAAGGAGACTGTGGGGCATACGGCAATGCCAGGGGGTAGTGTGGTACACTGAGGCAGTGGCCTGGCAGCTAAGAACACAAGCTTTGCAGTTATGAAGACTTGCAGCTGGACTTGAGCCCCCCCTTCCCCACAAGTCTTGGTCTCCTCAGCTCTAAGGTGGATGAAAATACTTCTTAGGATTTCTACGAGTATTTAATGCAATGGTGCACCTAATGCTCTTTAGGACAGCTACAGATATTGAATGCCCAATAAACGCTAGCTATTATTGCAAAGAATTTTTTTTAAGTTTGTTTATTTATTTATGTAATCTCTATGCCCAACGTGGGGCTCGAACTCATGACCCCAAGATCAAGAGTTGCATGCTCTACCAACTGAGCCAGACATGTGCCCCATTATTGCAAAGAATTCTGAGAAACATGAGGCTCTATCCTTCCCAGGAGGCTCTTATATTCCCAGGAGATATAATCCTTTGAGAGCAACTTGTTATTTCACATATGCCTTAGAGATGATCACATTTACCTCCTTCTCCTAGACCTGTATAAGACGTTACTGTTCTGACATGGATTCATTTGGCGTGGTTCACTGTTATAAGGCTGTTTCTGTTCCTTTGTGACTTAGGGAAAGAGTCACAGAGGTGAGCACTGTGGGCATCAGAAGCTGCTCAGTTAAGGGTAAAGAACAGAAAAGGAACCATAGAAGGTACAAGGAATGCCAATGAAGACGCACATCCTCAGAGATCAGAGCAAAGGCACATAGTACCCACTGGTGCCCAGGAACAGTCTGAAAAGCTTTGTGGATAGGTGGTGATGGAGGAAGGAAGGAGAGCAAATGGCAGAGACCAAATCAGGGTCAGAGACACGGAGTGCTCTCTGTGTCACTACCAAAGGGGTAGTGGCCTCCATATCGAACTGGTCATCACCATTAGGCAGCACTGCGCTGTCTCATGTGCTAAGAACTCATTATCCAGTTCAGTTTCACAAATCCGTGGGTGGGTGCTATTATTTTCCCATTTTGCAGATGAGAACATTGATGTTCAGCAAGGTTTGAGAAAATAAATAAATAATACCCAGTTGTACTGGGCCTTGTTTTTGGGCCACTGTAATCCTTCTCCTCCTGGACCAGTGCTGTCTGGCCCCAAGTTTTGATTGGTTCCAGTGCTGCCAGGACACATGCCTCTCTTAATGGCCATGATTCCCCTGAATCCTGACCCTGGGCTGCTATGTCCATAATGTCCATGAACCTGACCCCCCTCCTTCTCTCTCCGAAGCCCTTCTACTGGGTCCCTTCTAGTCGAAGATCCACTCCAGCATCAGCCAACCCTCTGCATCTTGGTTTTCTGGTCCAGCCTCTCAGGAAATAAACTCCAGTTATTAAGAGACTGGAGAACAAAGAGGGTTTGCTAGGTCTACCAAGTCAGCGTGAACACAAACACTTATCACAATAAATGCTAGACTGAATTAAGACATGCTTAGAGCTAGGTCCAGTTTTGGTCTCGCCTCCCTGCCTACACAGTGAGAAGTTTGTATGTAACCAAAAAAACTGGTATCTCTAAAAACATGACCATTAGCCTCACCCAGGGCCCCAAATTCTGCCTGACAACCTTTGTCTGTTTCTCTAATATTCTCCCTCTCCAACTTTCCACAAAAACTGTTTCATCTGCTATTTTCTCAACATTTTTTTTTTTTTTTTGGTTTTCATGATTTTTTTTTCCCTCCGCTTCCCTCCCTGTTAGGGGTGACCTCACAACATGCATCATGGGGACCTTCACACGGGCCCAACCACATCTGCACCTGAAGCCATCTGCCTTACTTCCTCCTAGTGGGCGGTGGTGGCCCCCTTCCCGGCAAGAACAGCATCTCTGTGTCCCGTTCGTGTTGTCTCAGGGAGCTGTATCACCGATGGCCCCCCCTCCTCTGGAAACTCCAACTTCTTCCTCCTTGTGTCCCCTTGTCATCCAAACAGCATGAGAACAACGGTGTGTGAGCAGTGTTCCCTGGACTCCTCCTAACCTTGACTGCCTCCATTTCTCTTCACTGCCAAGTTTTCCAAAGAACTACCTTTACACCCTGTCTCCATTCTCTCACCTCTCACTGACTCCTCAACTCACTTTGCTTGGGCTTCGTCCTCAGAAATCCCCAAAAGGACTTTTGTTAAGGCTCTTAGGACCTCCACGTTGTTGAACCCCATGGATGTCCTCTGCGAACCCAAACCACAGGGCTTTGCGTGGCTGCTAGCTATACCTCCTAAGCATCTCAAACAACATATCCCAGAGTGAACGCCTGATCCTACTCTTCCCCCACCAAAACCTGGTCTTCCTCCAGGCTTTCCATCTGAAAGATGGCACCTGCATTCATCTGGGTGCTTAGCAGAAACTCGGGGCACAAGAACCCAGTTCTCCTGTGGTTCAGGGCTAACTGAGGCAGCAGTAGTAAAAGCTATGTCCACACAGCAACTCTGCCGGTACTACTCATGAGTCCAACTGGGAGTCTGAAATCTGCCTTGAAATAACGGAACACTTACTTATCTCTTGATTTTCCACAGAGCAGTGGCCCGAAGTAAAACTTCTCCATGCTCATAATATACTTCTTAAAGATGATCTCATTTTGCTTTATGTCCATCTTCCGCTGAGTAAATACCACTCTGAACACAAGGGAGGAAGAGAAGAGGAGAGGCTCTCTGAATGCAAGTTCATTGCCTCCATTTGATGTTGACCTGAGCCCAACATTCCCTGTTTAGCAAAGGGTCCAGGTATCTGGAGACAGAATGATTCTTAATCTGAGGACCTTAGCTGAGCCCTTATTCCTGCTCCCTCCCTTCCACCACCCCCAGGGATGAGAGCTTGAACTTGAGAAAAAGTTTCCCAGGTGTCTTTCATAATGAGGGGCTGATGGTAGAGCGGAGTTAGATTTCGCATGCTAGTGTGCCTGGCTAGAAAAACTGACAATCTCTATGGAAAACAAGTTCTGGTGGATATTAACCAGCTTCGGTGTTCCTTGTCCAATGTGGCCCCCTGATGAGAACTGCAAAAAAGCTCCTTTTAGTGGATAAGCTATAAAAGGCCTCCTCCCCTGGAGAGCTTGTCCCCCTAGCTTGCTCAGCCAGGTGACTTTATGTTGTGGATAAGGGGTGTGGTGGTGTTTGGTAGCTCAGAAAAATGTCCGCCCGTGGGGAGTCACACATTTAGTGATATTACCGGACAAAAAGTCCGACAGTACATATAAAACCCACTTAAATTTGCTTCATAGTTAAATAAGCAAACTAACTTGCCAGAGGATGATGCTTCCCCTGCCTTCACACCTATTAACATTCTCTGTAGCTCACTTTGATGGTCCATGCCATTCCTGTGGCTTCGTCAATGTCCAAGACACTGAAGTCCAATATGGCCAGAGTGCCTGGGGTGCTGCCCCCAGTTCCACATTAGCAGTAAGAGCTACCTTGCTCAAAGTGCCATGGGACCAAACGAAAATGTTTCTGTCAACTCATTTATTTATTCAGTATCTCTCTCTTTTAGGTGTATATACTATTTACTAACAGACAAGGCCTGCAGTTTTATTTCTTCTTGGATATACCCACAGTATGGCCCCGGCAGCCTGTGGGGCTTGGTGTGTAAAAATATGGAACACTTCATGAATCTGCATGTCATCCTTATGCAAGGGCTCTGCTTCTCTGTATCGTTCCAATTTGATCAACTTTCTCTTTTAAGGTAAAAATACACTTACTTTGGATCTTGGCAAATGTAAGGGTAACTGCAGACACCTCGGCAATAGAGCTGGTACTGGCGGTGAGTTCCAAGGATCTCGAAGTTAAACGTCTGGTCAAAGTTCCCGAGTTCATTGGAAGAGAAATGTATTCGCAGTGTCACCTCACCGTTGGCTGGCACGATCCACCGGAAATGATTCAGCCTGCAAATGACCACAGGACTTGTAAGGAGAGAAGGCTTCCTTTGGGCCAAGAGCAGACAGGACTGCTGCCTGGGAGAAGTCCTGGCTGCTCAGAGGGTCTGCTGGCAGGACAGCCCTGCTCCGTCTGGTGCTGTGACGGCCACGGCCTCCGTTTGGGGCTCCAGTGTTCCCTTCCCTGGGTGGCTCAGACGCCCACCTGATGAATTTCTCCTGGGAGAACTGCCCAGCGAAGTTGTTCTGGTCCATGTCCGACAGGGGGGCAATGGCTCTGGCTGTTCCCCCAGAAAGGCCCTTCCTGCTGAAGGCCATGCGACGTTTGTCCTTCTGAGTGTCTCGGGCCTGATCCGCTTTTTCCTTCAGTTTCTGTCTGCTCCCCTTAGAGGAGGTGGTCTGCTCCTCCTGGGTCTTAATTAAACACAAGCACGAGTCTTAAATATTCATTGACATACACATGAACAGAAGACAGAGATGCCTAGAACATGTGTGCGCTGCACGAGCCGGATGCTGGCGGCTGCCGAGGGCAGAGGAGGACCCAGCTTACTGCACAAGTGGAGAAGAGGAGGAGAGAGAAGTCTCTGCTTTCCTGGGCACCCCATTCCCTGAGCAGGAGGCCGAAGCCCAGAGAAAGCTTCAAGCTGCAGGGGAAGTGTTCCTATACTGTGTTTTGTTGTGGTGTGTCTTTAGTACCTTTTCCTCTAGACCCCTTGCCCCCTCCCAATCACACTGACTTTTGGGCAGACCAGGTCTGTGTTCTTATAGAATGTGCCATACTCTGAAATTTTCTGACCATTCTTCAAGCATCATTTCACTTATTCCTTCATTCCTTGTATTTTCTGTAAACTGGAAATTAGGCGTAAAACTTAATTACATTCATAGAAGATGCTGTATACGTCACACTCCATCACAATGAGGGACCAAAAAAAATGCCACCTTAACCCAGGATTACAGATGCATTGCGTTCACATGGCTGGGATGGAGTCTGCCAGACCTGGCCTCCATAACGTGGGCGTTTGCCTTTGCAGCTGGCTAGTCACCTGTGGGACGATGCTCTGGCTTGCAGTGAGGGTCTTGTTCCCTAACAAAGCAGTGCTTTTTATATCAATTGGTGCTCCTTAATTACTTCACGGGGGATAACAGAATAGAGTTTTTCTAATTCTACTCTTTTTTCTATAGTTTTAGCTGCCATTCTTCCAGAATGAAGAGCTTTCCTTTGTCAACTGGGGATAAATTAGAGTTCCTCCTAAAATGGTAAGTTAAAGTGCTTAACCCTTCTCTGTTAATGGCTAATTTTAAGGAAAGAGGTGGGTGTCATAGTCACCTCTGAGGTTGGCAATTTTTTTTTTATTTGGACTCTGTTCTAGTAAGGTCTGTCCACTCATGCTGTTGATCTCAGATGATAATTCCCTACTTATTTGTAAATAGAAGTTTGAGGTAGTCTCTTCACCTAATTGAGCTGAGGCATGGCCTATAGGTGATTTTATTTCCTGCTGATTTTATTAGTCTTTGCGGATGTGTTTTTGTAGGAAGCTGTGTGGAGAGATTCAAATTTGGGGTTATCATACTTCTCTGGGAATAAATAACCCCTCTCTAGGTTTTAATATACATACCTTCTGCATATTATTGGTCAAATCTATTTTCCTTTGTGATTTATTCTATTAATTGCACATCTATTTTCTTCCACTTATATGTGATTTCATTTGGATTACTCATATTTTTAATCTAACTAGAATTAATTTTACTGTATTATATCAGGCAAAGAGATAAAAAGTGAGTTTACCAAAATATCCACTCTCCCACTCATAATTTCTTTGATAATCTGTCCTTTTCCTAGTGTTGTGTGTTCCCTTAACTTGTGTCTGTTGATTCTTGTATTCTCATGCACTGTGTAAACTACCTTAGCTTCCCAATACATCCTAATGTCTTTTTTTAAGAGAGCTGCTTTTGCTTATTATTTCTCCCAAATGAGCTTCTGAGCAATTCAACAAGTGCCCCCAGACCATCCCACGGGAACTGGAAAGGGTAGAAGATGAGAACTAGTCATTCTGAGAGAGGCTCACACGGGATCCCCAGGCAGGATCCGCAACGAGTCAAGGGCAAACACGTCAGTGAGCGTGACGCCCAACACCATATTCCGTTTTTGACCGTGCGGAGGGTGACCTTCCCTGTCTGCCCATCAGAGGTCCTGCCAAGGTCAGGAGCACAAGTGGCTGGCTTGCTCCTTACCTTCCTGGAGCCTACGGTGCCTGAAAGCTCTGTTTCTGCTTCTCCTTCTCTTTTCTCCTCCAGTCGGGAGAGCTCTTGGGATGGGGGGGTCACAAACACGAAATGCTTCAGGATTTCTGTTGTGGTCAAAGGCAGCCGCTTCAGGGGGTAGGAGATGATTGAGAATAAGGCAGGAGGTGGGATGGGTGGTCCAGAGGAACCCAGACCCAAGATGTCCAGGATCTAAAGGAAAAGCCCATGGTTAATTTCCGATGCAGAGGGCAGGGTGCCCCAGCTGCCTCCCTGAGTGAGCACAGGGTGGTTTGGACCCTCCTGCCTCTTCCTAACATCCTTGGGAGATGCCACTGCCCTGGACATGTGTCGGGGAAGGGGTGTGAAGGGCCTGTGACACAGCTCTGCAGGTCTTTTTAGACCCCTGTGCCCCCAGACCAGGCTGGGACTCTTGCTGTGGGCTGTGTGCTCCCTAGCCTTCTCTTATCATGGCCTTAGTCACCTTAGCGTGTCTGTCTCTGCAATTGGATGGTAAACTCCACTGGGACAGGAACTAGGGCGATATAGCACAGGGCCTAGCACATAGCAGGCACTCAACATATTTCCGATACCAGCTCTTAAGAATCTTATGTCTAGATGGACTCTGAAAAACAAACTGAGGGTTCTAGAGGGGGGTGGGGGGATGGGTTAGCCTGGTGATGGGTTTTAAAGAGGGCACGTTCTGCGTGGAGCACTGGGTGTTATGCACAATGAATCATGGAACACTACATCCAAAACTAATGATGTAATGTATGGTGATTAACATAACAATAAAAAATAAAAAAAAAGATTCTTATGTCTATCAGGGAAATCCAAATCAAAACCTCAATGAGATACCACCTCACACCAGTCAGAATGGCTAAAATTAACAAGTCAGGAAACGACAGATGTTGGCAAGGATGTGGAGAAAGGGGAACCCTCCTACACTGTTGGTGGGAATGCAAGCTGGTGCAGCCCCTCTGGAAAACAGTATGGAGGTTCCTCAAAAAGTTGAAAATAGAGCTACCCTGTGACCCAGCAATTGCACTACTGGGTATTTACCCCAAAGATACAAATGTAGTGATCCGAAGGGGCACCTGCACCCCAATGTTTATAGCAGCAATGTCCACAATAGCCAAACTATGGAAAGAGCCTAGATGTCCATCAACAGATGAATGGGTAAAGAAGATGTGGTATATTTATACAATGGAATATTACGCAGCCATCAAAAAATGAAATTTTGCCATTTGCAGTGACATGGATGGAGCTAGAGGGTATTATGCTAAGTGAAATAAGTCAATCAGAGAAAGACAATTATCATATGATCTCACTGATATGAGGAATTTGAGAAACAAGACAGAGGATCATAGGGGAAGAGAGGGAAAAATGAAACAAGACGAAATCAGAGAGGGAGACAAACTGTAAGAGACTCTTAATCTCAGGAAACAAACTGAGGGTTGCTGGAGTGGAGGGGGTGGGAGGGATGGGGTGGCTGGGTGATGGACGTTGGGGAGGGTACGTGCTATGGTGAGCGCTGTGAATTGTGTAAGACTGATGAATCACAGACCTGTACCCCTGAAACAAATAATACATTATATGTTAATAAAAAAAAAAAAGATTCTGATGTCTCTAGTACAGAGCTGTTTCATCTGTTTTCAGATCCCATGTTAATCTTTCAGTTATCTTTAAATGTTCTTTCTTTCTGATGCTGAAAATAAGTGAGGGTTGGAGCAGGTCAAATATGGCAAAGAAAATAAGCCAAGGTTCTGGGCGTTGGGTAAAGGATGGGAATGAAGAGACAAGTCAAAAAGAAACTGGAGAGAAAATTCATTCCTACATCATTCTCCCCTTCTGCTCTGATATCAACTGAGTGAGCATCTTCCAGAGCAGACGGCTTGAAAATGTTGCAGCAGCTCCCTTCTCGGTATGGAATCCCCTCAGAATAAGCATGCTCTTGCTACATAAGTCATTGTCACAACGGTAAATGTGACAGCCTGCTGGAGCCTCTGTTCTGTGGACCACATGGGCAGTTAGACCGAGCAGGTGACTGTGTTCCTGGCATCCTGGGTTTCTGACCTGCGCGTCAGACCGCCAAAGGCATCTCCTAACTAATGCGTAGCCAGCGTTAACTCCCAGGGTTTGAATGTCTGTGAGGGAAAGGAACGGATAGTTTGTATCAATTATTAAATGGAGCCAGGGGTAAAGAACTGTAACCAACAGTCTAAGCTGTGGCTTGGAGTGTGAAGAGAATGAGAAAAGGCCAGAAGATAACCTTGGCTATAGTATGAGAGCATAAAACAAGACGAGAAGAGGTTCTTTTTCAAAAAACATATTTCTGGGGAGAAAAGTGGCCATGAGTCCTCCCCTTGGGCTGAGCGGAGGCTGTGTGAAACGAGTGGTTTGGTGTCAGGTGTCCCCCATCTGTCTTCTGCCCTTTGGCCCACCTGGACCACTGCAGCAAGACTCTGTTTGTGAGGCCACATCACACCCCAATCTGCCCCCTTGAGGAATTACCCGTGTTTTCCCATCAACTCTCACCTGTCAAATGTTCCTCCCAGGCTCTGTTCTCTCCTTGTAAAGGTTGCGTCTAGTTTCTGATCAACTAAACTAGAAATCAGCAAACTGTGGCCCCCTAGTCAAATCTGGCCGCTACCTGCTTTTGTAAATAAAGCTGTACTGGGACAGAGTCATGTTCATTGATTTACACGCTGTTGGTGGTTGTGACAGAGGTTGTGGACCTGCAGCCTAAAATATTTGCTTTCTGCTATTTTGCAGAAAAAGCTCATCTCTGGACAAAATGTTATAATAACCATCTCCTTCAAACCATCACCCAGCAGCTTCTGGCTATGCAATATTTTCTAGGAACAAAAAGCTATCTAATAGTATGATTTCTGTCACTATAAGAAGCTTGTGGGAACAGGATTTTCAAGTATTTGAGACTCTTGCTTCACTCCACAGTACACCTATCTTACCAGCCTGTAACAATATTTAAAATCAACCCGAAAAATCTATAAAGATCTTATTAAACTCAACACCCAAAAAAGCAAATAATCCAGTTAAGAAGTAGGCAGAAGACATGAATAGACATTTCTCCAAAGAAGACATCCAAATGGCTAACCGACACATGAGAAGATGCTCATCACTCATTATCAGGGAAACGTAAATCAAAACTACAATGACATACCACCTCATACCTGTCAGAATGGCTCAAATTAACAACACAAGAAACAACAGGTGCTGGCAAGGATGCAGAGAAAGGGGAACCCTCTTACACTCTTGGTAGGAATGCAAACTCGTGCAACCATTCTGGAGAACAGCCTGGAGGTTCCTCAAAAAGTTAATAATAGAACTACCCTACAACCCAGCAATTGCACTACTAGGTATTTACCCAACGGGTACAAAAATACAGATTTGAAGAGGCACATGCAGCATCATCAACAATAGCCAAATTATGGAGAAGAGCCCAAATGTCCATCGACTGATGAATGGATAAAGAAGAGGTGGTATATACACAATGGAGTATTACTCAGCCATCAGAAAGAATAAAATCTTGCCATTTACAACAATGTGGATAGAGCTAGAGAAGAGTATGCTAAGTGAAATAAGTTGATCAGAGAGAAGTGCCTGGCTGGCTCAGTTGGTAGAGCGTGCGACTCTTGATCTCAGGGTCATGAGTTTGAGCCCCACGTTGGGCGTGGAGCCTACTAAAAAAAAATAAGTCAGTCAGAGAAAGGCAAATACCATATGATTTCACTCATGTGGAATTTAAGAAACAAAACGGATGAACATAGGGGAAGGAAAAAAAAAGAAAGAGAGGGAAACAAACCATAAGAGACTCTTAATGATAGAGAACAAACTGAGGTTTGCTGGAGGGGAGGCGGGTGGGGGATCGGTATTAAGGAGGACACTTGTTGGGATGAGCACTGAGTGTCATACGTAAGTGCTGAATCACTAAATTCTACTCCTGAAACCAGTATTATGTTATATGTTAACTAACTAGAATTTAAATAAAAAGTAAAACAAACAAACAAAAACTCTACAGGCAGTTTTCTATGAGGTTAGTTGGAATAATTTAGATCTGCGGAACTTTCTATGGATTTTCACCAATTAGCAAATGGTCCTTTTAGCCACTATTGTCTCATATCCAAGGGGACCTCAGAGATTAATGGAATGAAGTGGGTACAGAAAGGAACACTTTAATGGCGATTAGCACAGTACCCGCTACCCGACTGAGTACGTCTCCATCCCGGAGAAGAGCCTGTACCTGATCCCCTTTGGGAAGCCTGTCATTCTCAAGGGCCTGCTTCCAGCTCAAGCCTTCGAAGTCGGGCGTCTGGATGGTGGTGAATGGCACACCCAGATCCTTCTTCCCCTCGTGGTGGTCCTCCTCCCCTCCGTCCCCCTCTCCGCCATCGCTCCGCTCCTCCAGTGCCCTGAGCTTCTCTAGACGCTCCCTCTCGGCCTTCTCCCGCTCCTGGCGCTCCTTCTCGGCTCTCTCCTTCTCCGCACGCTCCCTCTCTCGGTCCTTGCGGCCTCGGCGCCCGCCTGGCCCGCCTGACGGAACCTGGCGCTGGTCGTCAGGCTCATGGGGCATGTCCTCGGCGCCAGTGTGATGCAGCAGGACGCCTTGCTTTCGGTCCCAGTTCGTGAGGATGTTCTGGATATCCTTCAGAGTCAACTCATAGGTCTTCCACTTCTGGGCCAAGCGCTTGTCGGCATCCGTCAGGAGGTCCCCTTCGCTGTCCTCCTGTTCCTGGACAAGGGGAAACCCCAGCACGTGGCTACCTCCTAGTTGGTTCTTTCTCCTCTTGCTTAGATCATCCTTCTCATTTAAATGGTCCCTAACAGATACTTTCCTTTCTAGTGCATCCATCCTGACCTCTAGTTTGGAAAAAGTAAGAACCTAAAAAGCAAAACACATAAAACATGCTTAAAATAGCTCTTCAAGGGAGAACAAAGTGCATAAGGAAGCACAAGATGACACTGTGTTCTCAAAGAGGCCTCACAGGATTCCAGATGCCTTGTGCCTACACCAGGGCTCTGTCTGAGAATCACCTTGGGGGTCTTTGTTAAAAGATCCTCTCGATAGCCCTTTGCTGGCAACAAACAGGAGTTTAGAATGTGGCTGTGCCCCAGGCTTTTTAAAAAAATATGTATTTGTTGGGGCGCCTGGTGGCTCAGTCGTTAAGTGTCTGCCTTCAGCTAAGGTCATGATCTCAGGGCCCTGGGCTCGAGCCCCGCTTCGGGCTCCCTGCTCTGCGGGAAGCCTGCTTCTCCCTCTCCCACTCCCCCTGCTTGTGTTCCTTCTCTCACTGTGTCTCTGTCAAATAAATAAAATCTTGGGGCGCTTGGATGGCTCAGTCGTTAAGCATCTGCTTTCGGCTCAGGTCATGATCCCAGGGTCCTGGGTTCGAGCCCCACATCAGGCTCCCTGCTCAGCGGGAAGCCTGCTTCTCCCTCTCCCACTCCCCCTGCTTGCGTTCCTACTCTCGCTGTGTCTCTCTCTGTCAAATAAATAAATATAATCTTAAAAAAATATGTATTTATTTACATAACCTGGCATAGAGAAACTAACTTGATTCTTTTTCTCTTTCTTTTTTTTTTTTTTAAAGATTTTATTTATTTGAGAGAGAGAATGAGAGATAGAGAGCACGAGAGGGAAGAGGGTCAGAGGGAGAAGCAGAGCGCGATGCGGGACTCGATCCCGGGACTCCAGGATCATGACCTGAGCCGAAGGCAGTCGCTTAACCAACTGAGCCACCCAGGCACCCTCTTTTTCTCTTTCTCAACTTGCTTTGTGGGCTCTGATTTTCTTCTCCCCTGGATGAAATCCTTGGGGAGGCTCCATAGGTTTCTGGTCATTCTTTGGTGACATAAAATCCAGTAAAGTCTAATGATGATTGCTGGCAGGACAGCCCAGAGTCCCTGTTCTGGATGACAGCACTCCTCCCTAAGGTCAGGCTTGGAGGCAGGCCTGGCAAGGGTTGGCCATCCCCTGGTCTTACCGTACCACTCCTCCTCCACATCTGTCTGCATCTCTAACTCAGCCTGGGGAGTGTGGAAAGGTCTGTGGTGGCACAGCTGTCTCCTGGAGGGGTCGCTCACCGAGGAGGCAGGGGGCTTGGCCACTACTGTATCTTTCTCCATCATCACTAAGAGTCACTGCCAAGACCCAGAGAGTTCTGTTCGGACATAAGATTTCAGGCAGAGGACTTTGTGTGGAAGGAGGGGCCGCAGAGGGGCAGGGAGGGCTTACACTTGGAAGATTTCAGGAGCTCGGCACAGACCAGTGACAGTCTAGACTCCAGGCCTGCTTGCTTCTCGTGCTGTTCTTGCTCCCAAGCCTGGGCCATTTCTGCATGCTCAGACCCCACTCCTTCCTGAGCTCTACCGGATTGTGACCCCTGGGCACGAATTCCTCTGCTCTCATGTCTACCCAGATGTGGTCACTGTCTCTTGCTCACCTACTGGGACCAGTCTGCACCTTGTCTGGGAGCGTGGCTTTCGCTTCGCCCTCAGGGCATCCACTGGGCACACCAGCCAGCTAGCTACCCTGCTGGGTTGTGAGCGCCACCCTGGCTGTTCTACGTCTCCCGGGTCAGGGCAGCGGAGACGTGACTACTAAGCTTGGCCGGCAGATAAACTACCGCCACATGTCTGCAAGGACAAGCTGATGTTAGAGTGTCTTCCTTGACGGTTGTCAAGATAAGCTCTTGGTTGAACACAGGGGTTCCACTGACTTTGTGGCTCACTGGAGGCCAGCTGTTAATACCAGCCTATTCAGCAGCATCCAGGGGACTTGGAGGCACAGTGGAAAGAGGTGGGGTCCTCTCCCAGCCCCAGACAGGACTCATGTCTCTGAACCCCGCAGGGTGGGAGGGGGACCAAAATAAAGTGCAAGCAGAGCTCTTGGCACACAATCAGCTTTCGACCAGTGGTGGCCCCTTCCCTCCTACCTCCTGCTCCACCACAAGATGCAACCAGTAGCAGGTCGGTTTTCTGGAAGGGAAATGTACTGGCTTGATGGGCTGGTTACAGTGGCTGCTCCCTCTGTTCTGCCTCTCGCTAAGGAGCAAGGGAGGGTCGCTACCTGCCGGTTTGTTTGAGATTTCTTCGGGAGAGGCTCCTCCTTCACTGGTCCTTGCTTTGGCCTTTTGACCTTCCGTTTTAGCTCATCTTCGTCCCTTTGCCGCTCGAGCTCCTGCTGTAGCTTCTTCTCACGCATCTCCCTTGTCAGCCTCTCCAGCTCCCTTCATCAAACCAGGCAGAGGAGACAGAGTTCAGAGCCCCCGCCCCGAGCCCCTCCTCTGCCTTGGGGTGTTCAGTGGACGGACATGGGAACAGTTTTCCTTGGGCATAAAAAGAAAGAGTGAACAAAAGAAATCCGGGTAAACAGGAAGGCAGTAAGGCAGGAGTTAGGAAGGAAGGGAGGGAGTTAGGAAGGAAGGAAGGAAGGGAGGGAGTTAGGAAGGAAGGAAGGAAGGAAGAAGGGGGGGAGGAAGGAAGGGAGGAAGGAAGGGAGATAGGAAGGAAGGAAGGAAGGAAGGGAGGAAGGGAGGGAGGGAGGGAGGAAGGGAGGGAGTTAGGAAGGAGGGAGGGAGGAAGGAAGGGAATTAGGAAGGAGGGAGGGAGGAAGGAAGGAAGGGAGGAAGGAAGGGAGATGGATGGATGGATGAAGGAAGGAAGGAAGAAGGGGGAAGGGAGGGAGGGAGGAAGGAAGGAAGGGAGGAAGGGAGGGAGGGAGGAAGGGAGGAAGGGAGGGAGGGGGGGAGGAAGGAAGGGAGGAAGGAAGGGAGGGAGGAAGGGAGGGAGGGAGGAAGGGAGGGAGGGAGGGAGTGATGATTGCTGGCAGGACAGCCCAGAGTCCCTGTTCTGGATGACAGCACTCCTCCCTAAGGTCAGGCTTGGAGGCAGGCCTGGCAAGGGTTGGC